TTTTTTTTTTTTTTTTTTTTTTTTTTTTTTTTTTTTTTGTCTTTTGTCTTTTTTCCATGTCCGGCAACGGATCACAACCCTCAGTGTTGCCCCCGTACCAGACCGGGGACCGGCAACGGGATCGCAACCCTCGGTGCTGCTCCCGCGCCTCGCTCAGCCAGTGAGCGGGAACCGGTCTGTATGTGGGATCCGAACCCTCGGGCAGGAGCGCCGCCGCGCTTCCCAAGCGGCGCACTATCCAGTGCGCCACCGGGCCGGCCCATTCACTCATCTTTTTCTATTTTCCTAAAGTAGAGCTTAGACAACTGATTTTAGATTTTTTTTTTCCTAATGTATGCATTCAATGCTATACATTTTCCTCTAAGTACTGCTTTTGCTGATTATCACGAATTTTGATAAGTTGTGTTTTCATTTTCATTTAGTTCTAAATATTTTTTTAATTTCTTCTTTGACACATGTGTTATTTAGAATCATGTTGTTTAATCTCCAAGTATTTGGGGATTTTCAGTTTTCTTTCTGTTATTGATTTCTAATTTAATTTCTTTGTAGTTTGAGAATAGCACTGTATTTCTATTTTTTTTAACTTGTCAAGGTCTATTGTATGGCCCAGAATGGGATCTGTCTAGGTGAATGTTCCGTGTGAGTTTAAGAAGAATGTGCATTCTGCTGTTGTTAGATGAAGTAGTTGATACACGTTTATTATTTTCAATTGGTTGATGGTTTTTTATTGAGTTCAACTATATCTTACTGATTTTCTTTCTGCTGGATCTGTCCATTTCTGATAGAGGAGTGTTAAAGTGTCCAATTATAATAGTGGCTTCATCTATTTCTTGCAGTTCTATCAGTTTTTGCCTCATGTATTTTGATGCTCTGTTGTTAGGCACATACACGTTAATGATTGTTATGTCTTCTTGAGAATTCACCCCCTTTATCATTATGTAATGCCTCTCTTTATCTCTGATAACTTTCCTCACTCTGAAGTCTGCTCTGTCTGACATTAAGGTAGTGATTCTCACTTTCTTTTGATTACCGGTAGCATAATATATCTTTCTCCATTCCTTTACTTTTGATCTACATGTGTCTTTATATTTAAAGTGGGTTTCTTACAGACAATGTATAGTTGGGTCTTGTTTGTTGATACTCTGAAAAATCTCTTTCTTTTAATTGGTGCATTTAGATCATTGATGTTCAAAGTAGCTGTTGATATAGTTGGATTAATATCTACCAAATTTGTTATTGTTGTCTATTTGTTGCCCTTTTTCTTTGTTTCTATTTTCATCTTCCACACTTTTTCTGCTGTTTGTGGTTTTATTTGAGCATTTTATGTGATTCTATTTTCTCTCCTCTCTTAGGAATCAGTTATGCTTTCTTAAAAAACTTTTTTTAGTGGTTTATCCTAGAGTTTTCAATATATATTTATACTTTGCTTACTTTAATCATCTCTTCTTGCATACTGACTACTTTATCCATTAGAGCCCTTAGCATATTAATCATAGTGGTTTTAAATTCCCAGTCTGATAATTCTAACATCCCTACCACGTCTAAGTCTTGTTACTTGCTCTGTCTCTTCAATCTGTGTTTTATGCCTTTTAGTATCCCTTATAATTTTTTTTCTTTATAGCCATACATAATGTACTGGATAAATAAAACTGCTGTAAATAAGCCTTTAATAATGTGGTAAGGTGTGGGGAGAAAGTGAAGAATTCTATAGTCTTAGATTAGGTCTCAGTCTTTTAGTGAGTCTGTGCCTCTTGTGAACTTTACAAGTTTTTCTCAGTCCTACCCACTTCTCCTTAAGTGGAATGTATGGCTAGAATGGGCTGGAGTTGGATATTTCTCTTTTTCCAAGTCAACTAGGCTCTGATAAAACCCCAGCAGGTTGGGCTCTGGTTAAATAGTTTCTCTTGAGGGAAAACCTTGTTCAGGAGAATAGAATGCTCTGGAGTATTTCAAACAGTTTCTTTTCCCCTCTCCTCTGCTGGAAGCACAAGGGGATTTTTTAAAAGATATTTAGTGTGAGAACCAGATCAAGCTTCCAAAGGTAGAACTCACTAAAGTGTAGGGCCCTCCCACCATGGATGGGTCCCCCTGGACTTTTTAACTCTGCACGTCGCTCACATTGAGCCTCCAGCAATTCGTCAATTACGGTTCAAGTTTTCCTGTCCCCAACATTGATTCCTATAAAGGTCTCTACCAGTTTGTTCCAGTAAATTGTAATTCTCTGTATTCATCTGTCTGTCTTTCCAATTGAGGGGCAGCAATTTGCCCTGTGACCTCACTTCTTTTATGGTTCTAAGAAGAGTTGTTAAATTTTCAGTTTGCTCAGCTTTTTTTTTGCTGATAAGATAGAGAAACAATTTCCAGGCTTTACATGGACTGTTAAAATCTCTTAAATTTCTCAAATTGGAAAATAAATTGTTTTACAAAAATATGAACTAAGCTTATTTATAAATTCTTAATTTTTTCAAATTATGTATTTTGTAACTGAATACATTTAAGCAAAAAGAGTTTGTTTCATTCATTTTGTCCCTCTAGAGAGTTATATTTAATTTAGAATGACATTTGCAGCTTCATAGCAGAGAAAGCTTGATAGGAGACTCAGAAACTGCTTTACGTTTGAATATTACCAATAAGGTAATGCGATACTGTTTTTGGTTTTGTTTGGCTGGCTTTTAGATTTCATTTTTATTATGACTCTCAGAAGAAAATAAATAGTTCTGTTATAACATGGTACGTGCTTCCTATAAATCACTGCATTTCACAAAATTCACAGAGTTTATGGGGAAAGTAGGATTAGGGGCACTATATTAACAAACTTCATCAGTGACACATTTTTTTAGAAAGACAGGAACTTAATAAAAATAGCACAGAGGTACACATGTTAAATATACTATATAATACTACATAATTCTATAATACATAATACTATACTACATAATACTATAATAATACATAACACTACATACTATAATATTATTACATATTGATATGTAACACTTCAATACATAATACTACATAATCCATAATACATAATACTACAACAAATATGGCACTTTACATTGGAAGAGACCTAAGGTTTTATGCAATGCTTTTGACACCACTGGGAGGCCTAAAATATCTTTAAAAGGAGAAAAAAGACAGAAAGAAGAGAAATTAAGGGACTAAGAAGAGAAAGAGAACATGTGGAAAGAATGACAGGACATGGTTTCCCATGTCTAAAGCTGCCCATCACAGCCCAAGCTGTGTACACACACACAGAGGTAATTGGTGATTCAGGGCAAACAGAAATCGCAGTGTGTACCAAGTACTGACAGAGTTTGTACCAAAGCTGGGAGCACATCAAAAGGGGTTGGAGGAACAGCCTTGAAGAACGAGGCATTATGAGATTTTTCTGATGCTAAACTGGAAGAACAAGCCGATTATGAATGTGACTTGATTACCTGGAAAAGGCTGCATAACTGAACTGTAAGCCAGGATATGCTTACTCCTTAGAGGCTTCACCTGGGAGAGGATGGCTCCATTTCTTTTCTTTGCTTGATAAATCTGTGTGCTATTCTTTGCTGTGAGGATCCAATATATAAATTCCCCATCCACGGTTAAGCTAACAAGTGTTTTTCCTGCTGATTAAAAACATAAAGAACATAAAATAAGGAACAAAATACATTCTTAAGTTTTCTACTCTAAACAATATATAAAATTCTTTTTCTATGTTATAACTGCTAAACTTTGAATCTATTATTTACCTATGAAAAATAATACTTTTATTTTATGTCATTGAGCTAATGGTTTTAGAGGTATTTTCTCTTTTAATATCCATATCAAGACAATAAGATAAATACTGTTATTACCAGCCTTATTTTGTAAAAGTGCAAACTGAGGCTTAAAAGAGTTAAATACTCTACTCAAGGCCACAAAGTTAGTAAAAGGCAGAGCCAGACTAAAACCCACCTATGTGACTACAAACCAAAGACACCAGTCTGAGGGATGTATTATATGACAGGCATAGGGCTCAGTGTCTTGCTCAATATTTCTCCTGGTGGTTTGGAATGAACGTTGTAGTAAACATTTATCAAATTTGCAGCTCATACACGATTATCACTGTTACTAGCAGGTTCAGTTACTGCCTTGACATTCAAAAATATCACAACAGAATCAGGAAATGAAGTTTAATAGGAACAAATGTAAAATCCTAAACTCAGGTTTAAAATCAACTCTATGAAATGAAAGAAAGAGATCTGGCTTAATAATAATTAACATGAAAAAAAACTATTGGTTTTTCAAATGGCAAGTAGCCCAAAGACCTGTGGCCACTTTTCCTACAGTAAAAAGAAGACCTAGGAAGTCAGCATCGCCTTGCACTGACCAGAACACATTAAGAGTACAGCATGTCATTATGGGGGTGACATTTAGTGGGTTATTGACCAGCTGGGGTGAAATCTCAGGAAAGTGACTAGAGCTAAGAAAGATCTAGAAGCCACATCACCTGAAGAATAGTTACAGATATTTGAATTTCTCCTCTAAAGAAAGTGTTTAGAGACTTCTGGTCAAGATGATGGAATAGTCAGTCACCAATGTCGCTCTCTCCCACAAATCAACCAATTTACAACTATAAAAAAGCAACAAAAGCCAAGCTGGGGCCGCAAGAGCTCAGAGTAAGAGGAGGAGAGACCTACGGAGTGCATGAATGTGGGAGAAGCCACGATGAAGGAAAGAAAAAACTGCCCCAACCATTTCTGATCCCAGCTGCTTCCAGGCTATAGCTGCTGAGTGCACAGAGCAGGAACTGGCAAACGCCACAGCTGTGCCCTTCGGATGAAGTTGTTTGGAGACAGCAGGGGAGAAAACAGCCTTGGTGGCTCCCAGGCCAGCAAGACCACTAATACGGTTCCTGTGGACCCACAAAGGAGCAAGGAGTCACAACAACTGAAAAAAAGGAGCTACTCAGAGGCCAGTGAGTCATCACAAGGGACCGGAGCACAGCCCATCCCAGGGGAAGTGTATGGAGCACGGGCATGTGCCCACCAGGGAACCATGGACACAGCAAGGACAGCTGATCTGCCCCCCGATCAGTGTAAGATCACTCAGAGGAGACTCGTCAGGAATATAGAACTGCAGGGGGTGCAGTTTGATGAAAAGACTCAGGCCCAGACCAGAGTTTCTACACAAACTGGGTGCACAGGATCTCACTAGACCCAGAAGTACCTCTAAAGTCAACCATTAAAACCTGAGCTGCACAAAAGGCCTTCCCTAGGGAACCAGCAACAAAGCAGCAATTTAGCTCAACCACAGAGCTCAAGTACCGGTCCCCACAGGAAGTTCCCCCATTTTAGAAGTAAGCAAAGGACAACAAATTAGTTCCAGCACAGAGTTTAAGTGGTGGGAACAGCAAATAATCCAACACAGAACTGGAAGAAAAAACAAAGTACCCACAACCAGAGACAAAGCTTGATATTAACTAGCAAATATCTCATTTCACCAAAGAACACCTATAACACATAAAAGGACGGGAAGTCCCCTAGACTACCAAGCCAGAAAGGAGTGAGGGCTGGAGGCCTCAACCATGCCCCCCAACACCCACAAACAGTCCTGAGGGTGGGGGCCAAGGGTCTCGGCCACACACACCCAACATGCACAACCACCCCAGTGATGACCACCTAGCCACCACAGGAAGTGCCCTGGGCTCTCCCAAACTGGGGCAGTGAGGGGCTGAGGGCTTTGGCCATGTCCCCCAGACATGTGCAACCAGCCCAGCCACAACCACCGAGCCACAGCAAGAAGGGCCTTGGGTTCCCGAGCTGGGCTGGTGGGGGATGAGGGCTTCTACCACACCCACCTGACATCTGCACCCAGCCCAGCAAGGACCAAGCCATCACTGGAAGTCCCCTGATCTCCCCTGTGAGAATAAGGGGGGTGCCACAGGCCTCAATCCCACCTCTCCTCATTTCTCCTTCTTCCATCCCATTTCCTTCCCCTTTCTTCTCTTCCCCTCCCTCCTAACTGCTCCACAACGACATCATGGAATGTGAAATAATAATATTAATAAAGCATAATTTGGTAAAACCTAAAAAAAAAAAACAGAAATTCTTAGAATGGGCTATGACAGCTATCTAAATATAGTTGAATGGCTGTCATGTGGAAAGTGACTAATTTATTCTGTGTAAATTTAGCCATTAGAACTAAGACCAAGGAATGAGAATAATGGAGAGAAGACTTTAGATAAATATAAGAAAAAAATCTAATATTCAGAACTGTCCAAAATTTAAACAGACTTCCTTATAGTGATATTTTTTATAAACAGGTATTCAAACAAGTCTATTTTTGTAGAGAAAATTTCTTGTAAAATCATGACAGCAAAATGATCTCTAAATTTATTTTAATTTTCAAATTTTAGAATTATAGAAAGATTGACCAATTCTATACTTATACTAATGGCCCACTAGATAATTCTTGTGTATCTGATGTTAAAGAAAAAAATATACTGATACTTCTTAGAAAGACTTTGGTCAAGACTAGTGCGACATTGCAATAGGAAAGACAATACAACACAGACAATTGGGGATTTACAGCCAGTGAGCAGAGCAAGGGAGTCAGTGAACAGGAAATTACTAAGAGGGGACATCAAAAGGTAGGCCAAGGGCATAGACATCGAGCGTGGGGTAAAGAACTCTATCAGATGTTAATTTAGATATAAATCTCTAAATTGACTTGGTAGGTTGCTAAAACTGGACTCAGCAACGATGTCCATGGAAGGTCAAAGTTGAGGCTTAGTCAAGAAGAGACCTCAGAGGAGCACAACTGAAGTTTGATCAAGGAAAGAGTCTACCATGGATTTAACAGAAACAAGTAATTTTCCCAAGAGGAGAAGTTCAAAACATTAGCTCTACTCTTAAGCCCATTGAGAGTACATAGAAATGGTTTCTAAAAGGCTCTAGGTGACATGTCAACAAAACCATATGTGCAATTAGAACACAGAGACACATACTCACAGTCACAATTTCAAAACTTTATTGGATAATCCAGCATTGCCTGACAGAACTTTCAGTAATGATGGAAATGCTGTATACCTACATTGTCCATTAGCCATTAGCCTTTTTTGGCTTTTGATCACTTGAAATGTGGCTAGTGTTACTGAAGGATTAAATGTTTAATTTTATTTAATTTTAATTAATTTAAATTTAAACCACCACTTGTGGCTAGTGACCACTGTAGTGTACAGTGAGGAGTAGACTTAAGTGTATCTAGGGTGCATTTTTTTGTTGGAATTACTCCTAAATAGGAGACTTTCAAATCACTTTCAGATTTTCAAATATTTCTTCAAACATGTGAATTTCAGCAGATAGGCCTGACAAGTATTGACCAAGTCATGCTGAAAGTGGAGTCAATGGGATCATCCAAACAGATATAAAATAGGGTGTTGGTAAGACCACTGATGTTGTAGTGAGACACAGTTTCAACTTCCTCTGCTCACTAACTGTGGGCCTTTGGATAGCTTACCTTGGCTTTCTCAGCCTCAGTTTCCTCATTTGTAAAATCAGAATTGTAGTACCTACCTCATTGAGGCATTGTGGAGATTAAATGATAATGCATTTATTACTGTGCCTAGAATGTAGAGTTAAGCTTATTAAATTGTAGCTCTATTGTTAATTAAAACTTTTTTTATAAAACACATTTAGAAAACTATGTCATTGCCTACATACAATTTGCCTGGAAACAACTTGATTTGAGTTCTACAAGAACACTTGGCATGGTCTGGAGAAAGTACCATGTATATATTCTCTTGAGTATATGTAGAATGCAAGCCCCTTTTAATGGGATGGGAGGTACTGGACTGCTGTTATTAATGAAACTTGAGGTACACACAGCAGCATCTTACCCAGCATATCAGGTACCATGATAACTCTCCAACACTGACATCCTTCCAGATCCGTGGCCCAGATCTCTTGTGCTTTGGCAAAGTATATCCAGGGTTTCTCTAAGTCAGAGGTATCAATAGTCATTATTCCACGTAACTCAAATTCAGTCACATTGCAAGAACATTGGTTCTTTCCATTTTGTTTGTTTGTGGCTGTGGGTTGCAGAATGCGGTGCAAGGTGTGATTGATAATACTGTAGTAGAACATCTGATAGCCAAAATTGGAAACTTCTGTCCAATACAAGCGACTATAGAAAAAAAAAAAAGTCCCTCCAACTTAATGAGTAAAATATTTCATTTCAAATATTAGTTTCTAATGAAGATCGACTACTCCTAATGATTGGGGAGGTTGCGGGTGGGGGGACAAATGCAGCCTTTGGAGAGGGCATATACAGGCTTCCAGCAACCTTCTGAGATGAAGGAGGTCAGAAGAATTCTAACTTTTTACTTGATTTCTCAGTAAATGTGTTTACAGCTAAAGGCTTGGATTACAATGACCATAGGTGCTGCATTAAATGGCAATTAATGGCTATAAATATGAAATATATTTGCATACTTTTTATGAACACCCATCTCCATTCCCCTCCTTTTAAGATTTCTTCTGCTTCTTAATTCTAATTTACAATCCAGTTTCAAAATAGACTCTACCCATGCTTATGGCACAAACAAAAATGTATCTTTATAGCCTGGGAAATTGTTACTCAGTTGATGAATGGAGGCCTTAAAACTAATCTCATGAAGACACTAATTAAACTAAGATGGATGAGCCCAGATTTGCTGTGCAAGACATGCTGCCCATCTGTTCCAGCTCATCTCCTGCCACCATCTCAGTCCTCTTCTTACCAACTGATGATATTTTTAAATTCGCTAATATAAAAATCTGCTGTTTCCTGCTAATAATTAGCCTAGCTTTAGGTTAATCAAATTGTCAATATGGATTAGGTTTACATGTTTGTGGTTATGGGCTCATAATTTATATGGAGACTTACTTACTGCTAGTTAATTTAGTGAGCCAAGAACCTTAAGCATCTTATTTTCCTGTCATTGGTTCTTTCTAATATTAAACCAATATTCTTTAATATTAAACCAAAGATATTACAATAAATATGTCTATGTCTTTTTCATCACAATGGAAAAAGATACTCACACTTACATACCTTAAAAGAGGATAGACAGAAAAAGAAATTATTGTTGAGTTCCTATTGCAAATCTTTAGCTCCTTGGGGTATTTCACTTTGTGTTCAAGATCAACATCAAATATTTGCATTCCATTTTGTGATTCTTTCAGTGCAAAGTAGAGGTGCCTTGAAATCCAGTCAACTGTAATAACTGTGATATCAAAAATGACTGCATCTCGGAAAAGCTTCACAATAGGTAGAGAACACAGCCAAGAAGTTAGTGGTCATTTTTTTTTTTTTTAACTTGCAGTCTTTTCTATAATCGCCCATACACTTATGTATCGCACTTCTCCTTTGTAATCCAAAACCTCAGTAACAGGATTGTGCACCATTGTAACATAGGCCCTCTTCATACATCATGTATTTTTCCTAGATAATTTCAACTACTATGGCTTCAACTACAACCCACAGACCAGTGCTAAAAATCCACATCTTCAGACAAGATCCTTCAATGAGTTACTGATTCAAATATCAAACTGCCTACTGAACATCTTCATATGAATGACCCCAGAAAACAGAATTTATCACCCTACCCCAAAACCTCCTTTTCTCTTGCATTTTATATTTTTATGAATTTCCAACACTCACCCAAGGAGCCAATCCTCACATTACTACCCATAGTGAACTAGTTCCATTTTAAATATCTCCCCAATTTATCCTTTCCCTCCTTACCTCACTGCCTGTCACCTAACTCAGGCCTTAGCATTTCCTACGTGGGTTTCTGTGATAGCCTCCTAGTTGTCTCAGATTTAACCCTCTCTGACACATTATTCCCACAGCTGGCAGAGAGGTCTTTCTAAAACACAACTTGACTGTGTTAATGCCATACTAAATTTCTTTAATGGCTTGCTGTTGGCTTCTAGATTGGCACCTGACTCCTTAGCACAGTAAAGGAGGTCCATTCTGTTCAGGCTCCTGTCTCCCTCTCCAGCTTTACCACTACCTTTTACTCCACCCTCGCCCTCACCTCCATCCCAAGCTCCCTCTATCTGTAGCTCCCTGAACATGCTATGACCCCCTTGTCTCCCTGCCTTGGCACTTGCCAGTCCCTCTGCTTTTCCCCACCTTCACCTGGCTCATCTTTGTGCCCAAGATGTTCTTCCATTCTAATGCCACTACTCCAACCTAGATCTCACGTTCATTCTTTGTGATTCCACTACATCCTGCTCTCAGCAGAGTAGCTATACTAGTCTGTCTTCTCTACTAGCTAACATTTAGTGAATGCCTACTATGTGCCAGGCATTGTGCTTTACATGGATTACCTTATTTAATCTTCACGGGAACTCTGTGAGGAGGTACTACCTACCCACAGAGATAAATAACTTACTGATGGTCACAGATCTAGTAAGTGGTGGGGCCAGAATTAAATTTTAGGTAGTCAGATTCCAAAGCTCATCCTCTTAATCACTATGCAATACTGCCTTCCTAGTGTTAGAGTAATACTAGACTGGGTTTGTTGAGAGCAAAACCTGTCACATTTTTAACTTCAATATCCCAGGATCTACTACAGTGCCTTAAATTCAATAACTATTTGCTAAATTAATCCTGAATGGCATTTACCCAGAATCTATTCTGTATTCATTTGTGGCATAATGATTACACATCTGTCCTTTTCAGTTATTCGTGTCCGGCAATGGATCGCAACCCTCAGTGTCGTGCCTGTACCGGACCTGGACCAGCAACGGGATCACAACCCTCAGTGCTGCACCCGCACCTCGCTCAGCCAGTGAGCGGGAACTGGTCTGTATGTGGGATCCGAACCCTCGGCGGGAGCGCCGCCGTGCTCCCAAGCGGCGCACTGTAGCAGTGCACCACCGGGCCGGCCCCTGTCCTTTTCAGTTATTCTTATCTTAATGGCTCAACCATCAGCCAGTTATTTTAATTATAGGGTAGTATAATATGCAAATGATCCATATTCTTCATTTCAGAATAATTACATAGTGAAATACCTCCAAGCTGGATCGATTGTTCAAGTTCAGAAGGAAGAGTGAATCTCCTTGAGTGTAATACACCATCTCATTATCTGCAGTGTATCCCACAGCACTGATGTCTCTTTCTGCTGAAAATGTCCAAACAACTTGATTTTGATCCATATCTAAAAAGCCTATCTTGTTGCCAAGGAGAGTTATGAGGTAAGGAAATGGATTGATTTCTGAAAACAAACAAGTAGATAACATACATGAGAAAACTAACTTTAGCAAAGTCTCTTGATTCAATATCAGGCAATTTTGAAATCCTTGGGACCCCTTTGGATTCATCTGATACATCAGTCTCAGTGAAGACTCTGGAGGCTAACAGGCTTGTTAGACCTGTTTTGACGATAATAAAAATTGATTATTTTATTTACCTTAACTTTAGCTCAGAGACAGTGTTCATATCCTTAAAGATACCAATGGGCAAAAAAATGCTCTTAAATTGTTATTGACACAGATTTTAGATACCAAGTACCTGATGTTTTAGATTTCACTACGTCAGAAAATGGTCCTGGCCCTTTAGATGTGAAGACCCGAACCTAAAGAAAACAAAACAAGAAACTACATCCAATGGTGTTCTCAGTGGCAGTAATTAAGTGCTGAGACTGACAAATTACTGAACATTTCATTTCACACTCCTGATACACACTATTAATAATTTTTGAGTAGTTATTTATATCTAAGTATATAGCAATAAATCACTACAAGGAAAAATATTGCCCCACACTCATGTCATTTTTTTTTTTTTTTTTTTTTTTTGTCTAGAAAAGTGTAAAGAAATGGCACAAATCTGCATTGGAAAAAAAAAATTCTAAGAAAGGTCCAGGGATTTCAGGTACAGCACAGGTGGTGATGAATGTATTAATTAATTTGATTGCGATAATCATTACACAATGTATATATATATATATATATATATATATCAAATCATCATGTTGTAGCCCTTGAATATATACAATCTTTGTCAATTAAATATTTTAAAATAAATAAAAGGTCTTCAACTATTCCCAAAATTAAGTCACATAGGCCAATGGAAACAAAACTGTGCAAGTTATGGTAAACTTCCAGTTATCTTGAATTCAACAACTAGAAGCTTCAAATAATTACATTTACTGTACTTTTTAAAAAGATGATTGATAAAAAGAAAATAATTAAACCTTATATTTGAACATGATTGCGCATTTCAAACCACTTTCACATTTATTACCTCTTCTGATCCTCACAATTACTGAGAGTAGAAACGGGACCAGGATTATAATAAGGTAAGTAACTCATCCACAATGACACATGTAGAAACTGGCTTAGGAACCAGGCCTTCTGAGGGTCTGTACATTTATCTTCCCACTGTGCCATGCCACATTCTAACCGTAAAGTTTTTTTTAAAAAATTTAGATATATTTTATTGTGTAATAAATCATTTCCATTTCCAAACCTCGCATATTTGCAATAACCTATAAAAAAATTGACATTCATAATAATGGCCTCAAAATATAGAGCCTCAAGTTCTCTTTCAATCAACAAAACATTGTATTATTTCTATTATACTTCTAATATTAAATACATGTTATTGTATTCTATATATTGCTATCTATGATTTTTAATGGTGCATATATATATATATATATACCAACGAGTCTTTGCTTTTGCACAGGACTGTGTTAAGGAAAATTCATACATATCCATGCATATCGCTCTGTATGGTTCTATGGTGACTGAAATTTGAAACTACATATAGAGAGAGAAACAAATACACTTAACCAGAATGCTTATTTAACTAGAAAACTCAAAATTCTTAACAAATAATAATGTTTACTATCTTTAACTTTTATGTGTAACTTTTTATTAGTATAGGTAAACCTAATAAATTATCAAGATAATTGTTAAATTCAAATTTTATAAAAAAAAAAAAAACACAGATCCACAGGAAACACAAATCCCTAAAATACTCTGCAAAATATTATTCCTCCCACAAAAAAAAAATGAAAAATAACTCTAAATCCATACAACACTGTCATGAACACAGTAATTAATGATATTAAAAGCATCAAGCCATTTATTATAAGTAGAAACTTACTTCATATGAAATTTAAAATGTCAAAATGGGGTGACAATAGTATGTTTCCTTGACTGCTACTTTCTCTTTCTGCTCTACCAGTAGAGAGGTGGGTAACTGAGATATCAACTACGCTGGCCCTCAGTTTCTATTTCCAGCTGCAGCTCCAGTTCGGAGCATCAAGATGATTCACAGCAGTGGTGTGATATAGTGGAAAGGACTCTAGAAGCTGGATTACGGCACACCACTTCACCATGCAGCTTTGGTAATTGACTGATACAGAGACCTGCTTTTTTCTTTGCAGTATGAAGATCAAATGAGATGGTGAATATGAAAGTCCCTACCATGATGCATAGGCCATAGTGACTGTGTCAAGTAGTAATGGTCTAGTCTGAACTTGAAATGTACCCTGAATGGGAGAAAGTTGTCAAGGTGTCCTTTACCAGAGCTATCCCCTCTCCCCTCTGTACTTTTGCTGCTCTCTTGGCCCATCAGATCACAGTGTACCTCAAATTACTGACAGAGTGGCAGAATTCTTAACCTAGTTCTTTAACCTTCTGTTTGCATGATTAAGAATCCCATATCCCAGTGTCTCTCTCATACCTGGAAGACAACCATGAACCCAGGACTCATGCCCTCAAGTTGAAAAGACATCACTGAGGGAGTGACATTGACAGCAATCCAGTCTTTGAATGTTTTACTTGTGTCACTTTGGTTGGATATTTGGTAGAAAATTTCAAATCTTGTCAACACACCATTTTCATGCTTAGGTTTATTCCACCTAAATTTCACCACAACTTCATTCTTATTGTGATATTTTCCATTTGGTAATATAAATATTCTGGGGTTCTCAGGTGCTGATGGAACTGAAAAGCAGAGGCACAGATAGGGCAGAAAAGAATATAAGGCTGACTTTTACTACCCATGATGAGGGTGTGGAACAACTTAGCAATAAATAGTTCTCATTCTAAACAGTTGAGGTATATCTGTCTCATTCTGAAAGATCATCAGGAGAGAATATTCCATAGATTTCCTCAGGAACCTATCCTGACATTTCAGCAAATCTTACTGACAGGCAAGATTTCCTTGTATCCAACCCAAATCCTTCCTGCTACTACTTAAGTGCTTCTTTCTTGTCTCTGCCCTGTGTAGTGACAAGGTAGCTGGTTCTCCTTATGAAATGCAATATTCATTCACTCTCATCCTGACAGAATCATTTCACCATGGAAATGTCCATCACCAGGTGGGAAGGCAATAACTCTAACCAGCCTCCAACGAGTTCTAGGTGTAGAACACAGCATATCAAAGATCCAGGCCCTCTCATCCTGAACCACCTAGGAGGCAGGAAATTTTGGAGAAGGCTGATAGCATCCCAAGAGTATGGTTTGAGAGTCCCCATCTATTCTAGAGCCAAACCAAGCAATTCAATCACTCTGAGTCCTGTAATCAAGAGAAATTCCTCTGCCTGATTTCCACGTCGTCCTACCCTCTTCTTCCTTGGGACTTCTCCACAAGGCCCTCAACCCCTCCCCCATCCCAATCACTATGCTTCTTATTGTTTAACACTCACATCATTACCCAATCTCCAGGCCTTCTTACATTGTACTTCCCATGTGGGATACCTTTTCTTGCTCCATCCCTAAGGGCCCAGCTAATGTCTCTGCTTCCCAAAAGCCTGCCTGGGCCATAGAAGTTCATGTGCACATCCTTCTCCTAAGAATGCCTGAGGCAGTTGGTATAGGTGAAGGTTTCATAGTCTTGTCTATTCATTCTATGCCACTGTGACTCAGTTATCACACTGTCTTATTCTATTATTGGTAGCTGCGTATGCATTTATTTCTCCACTGTTTCAGAAGCTCCACAAAAGAAAGGATCTTTTCTTATTTCTTTTTAAATCCCCCCAAATCTAGTATAGGACTGGCACACAGTAAGTGCTTAATAAATATCGGTCAATTTGAATAATTTCCTGGCTATATTGTAAATTCTCTGAAGGCAAAAGTCAGATCTTATCGTTCTCCCTTATTGCCCTCATCATCCAGCAGCGTGCTGTTGACCCTCACCCCAAATGGGTCCCCAATGGATGCAGTCAAGTCCTTCTCCACAGAACAATCCAACCAAAGCTGATATCCCAAGACAACCTCAAACAGAGCATACCTTGATCCAAATGCTATCTGCTCCAGAACCTGCCCAGGCTCCACTAGGTTCCTGTTGTGAGACTCATGGACAAATATTGTTGAAAGAATCTTTATAGTAAAAAATGCAACGATGAATGCATATCTGTGTTTATTGAGCTCTTACCGCCTGCCAGGTCCTGTGCTAGGAAGTTTGTGTAAATTAAATCATTATAATACTATCATTTATCAACATTTGCAAGAATGACTGAATGGAGATTTGATGAAACTGTAGTAAAAAGCCAGAATTAAGTCCCAGCTCTGTCACTTAGTGGCTATTGCACACTAGGCCACTACTGGGTTTGCATAATCAAGATCATAACACCTGTCCTGTCTATCTCAGAGCGGTGTGAAGATCAAATGAAATAACGTTTCTGACACATGATACGTATGCAATAAATGTTTAATAAAGGAGTGATACATATAATGTGCTTTGTACACTATAAAGTGATATACACATGGAAAGATACGGCTAATATCCTTTCTAAAATATATTTCCCCAAAAAACATTAAATTTAGACATCAGTTATTCACCCAGGGAAGATTCTGAGCTACCATCTATCAGAACAGCCTGCCTTCCAAGAAACTGTCTTTGCTCTTAAATGCCCATTTTTTTATGAAAGTTTTACAAAATTTCTGAAACATGTTTCTGCATCTCACATATCACTATAATCAAGTAAAACAGTCTTTAAGAAACCTCTGAAATATTCTTTTGTAATAAATTAGGCAGATTTATTTTAATGGTGTTATCATAATCTCCAAAAAGTCATTGAAAAGGTATTGAATCTAAACACATCTACAAAACTGAAAGTTATGTTTAAACGCTATTAATTATCTATTCCAAATACCAGAAAGTGAGATTCTGTCTTTTTTTTTTTTAAAGAGAGATTTTAACCCCTGTACCTGTTTCAGGTGCTTGAAGTGATAAAGATGTTTTGGGGCCCTTTCCCCAGTAGGTATAAGGAGTGACAGAAAGATTAAACAAGGCATAGGGCTCCAGCCCTTCCACAGTAAATACAGGTAAAGACTGTTGTTCACTAGCCAAGAACTAAAATATAAGAAAAAAACATTATTTTCTTAGGGGGAGAATTACAAAATCTTTCATTTCTAATTAACTATAATCTCCAAACTTTGGTTCACATGTGAAGTCAAAACTTGCAATTTTAGAAATGCTTATTTTGGCAAGTCCCATGTTTTAGACCAATTAAAGTGTATCTAATATAGCAGTTAGCACCAAGCAGTCAGAGACTGGCTGTAAACAGTGTTGTCAGGAATAAACTTAATAATCAAATGCAATGGTAAAACAAAGGAAATGGGCTTGGTTAAATGAAGGAAATACAAATCCATGTAGACAGGGCTGATACAGATGGCACAGTCTGTTTGGGAAGCAACACAATACCTTAGAATGAGCACTAAATTCCACACTGTAGAAAACTACACCCCAGTCCACCACAGGGGGAGCATTCCACAGGATTTGAAAACTTGAAGCATTTCCTTCAATCCTAAATGAAGACTCTAGAACAGAATCTGGGATAACTTTAGGTGTATGGGAAAAGTTCCCTATGGGATGAAAGAAAGAAAGGAACAGAGGAGAAAAGATTTAGGATTATCGATTAACATAGAAATCATGGGAAATCAATAGAAATTACTAATAATTAGACCTAAAACAAAATTTTTCTTTCTTTTAATATATCCTGAAAAATCATCTTTTTCTGACTTTCTCAGGCTGTAAATTTGGGTTAAAATAAAACTGCCTGCAAGAAAACCAATAGAAACTACTAAAACTTAACTCCTCTTAAAACATTATTCTTAAAAAATTCCAAACCAAACATTTATTTAACAGAAGGTGTAGGGGAGAGGGAATAAGAAGAAACAAAATATTGTACCTGGCAGAGGCTTGAGGGATGTCTGAATAATTGTGAACTGATTAAATTTGGCTGGTTCCGAAATGGAGACACTGGTTCTCTGACTTATTTCCTGAGCTGTGATAATCCTAAAGCCATTGATCCAGAAGAGCCGACCACTATAGTACATCAGCGCATTCTGGGAAATTTCAGAAGTACTCCAGGCTGCAAATTCTGTGATGTTGGTGTCCCCAACGCTGCTAAAACATAACACCAACTAGTATGTGTATCTGGAGTGGGAGAACAGCTGGTACATGCAAGTATTTGTGAAAATATGTTTGTGAGTATGTGTGTGCATTTGTGTATATTAAAAGAAATAATATACTTCGCAACAATAATTGCCATTATTTTCAGTTCCATATTAAGTTGATTTCTTACAAAAAATCAAAGTAGTAGAACTAAAGTAAGTTTTCTGAGGGATTTCTTATTAATATGATATTGCAATAGCAAGACTTTATACAGGTTGCAGCTTTAAAAAAAACACTTATGATTTTGGTGATTTTCCACATCAAAGGCACAACCTAAATTCTCATTACTTCATTAGCATAGAAATCACATTTTTGGCTTATTCCATGTGCTCCTACAACACTTGCATTAGCAGAAGAAAGACATGAGGCAAGGTACTTACAGGACTCGTAAATAAGGTTACCGACCAGGAATGAAACCAGTAAAAACCAATGCATAAGTATAAATTTGCCATCTGTACACACAAGGTTCAAAGACAGCCTATCAATGTGAGGCACAATGCTGACAGTACCAAAGTCAAGGGTTCGGATCCCTGTACCAGCCAGCCACCAAAAAAAAAAAAAAACACCAACAAAAGAAAAAATGGATTTAAAAAATCAGTTTTATGACCCCCACCACCTCATCATGAACAGGCAGAAATAACAAGATGAACAGCAAATATTAATCTAGAAGGCATAGTCTGTTCAGTGGTTTCTCCTTATTGAGCCATGCCTCCCTCCTACTGTTAGTAAGTGATCTTATTTCCTTGCCATTAATTATTCTAGCCTGCTTAGTTTTTTGCTTTTTACTATTTACAACTGTCTGTTGCTTCAATGATGCTTATCAGCTTCTACAGCTTAGTCAAAATGTTCCATTTCAGACTGGAGAATTCCAGTAAACAGACTATTATTTAAATTGCTTTAAGAATATTTTCTCAATGAAAGGGAATTTTACAGTAATTTTTACTTTAAAAATCTGCTTGGTTGTTTTAAAATCATACCAGTTACCTAGTACTCAACAAAAACTATCTCAGTGATTCTCAGTGCTTTGGAGTGGTGGTTTGGTCTTTTATGATGATCTATATAAGTCTTTTGGGGGGGGGGCTGTAACTCATTTTAAAGCATTGACATTCCCCTCTTTATAAAAGTATAAACTATGGTATTCAAAATCAAAATAAATAGAAGTTTGTTTTGAAAATTTCACAATACCCCCTTGAGAAAATGGAAACTACCTCAGAGGATCAGAGCTGGGAATTGTGAATCTTATAAAGAAGAATTATATTCACCAGTACATATTATTTCCATAGTCCTTTTTCTAGTAAAATACTACTTGTCCAAACCTACTCAATTGCGAAGACAGCATCTAGTTTGCCTTTGAACTTTCACCTACTTGTCTAATTTTACACTTTGCTCTTTCTACCTCTCATTAGAACTTCCCAGTGACTTTCCGAGATATACAAAACCAAATTCCAGATGTAAGGACACACAGCAAGCAGGATGCATTTGACCCAAGAAGACTAGTCCTTTTGGACCACCCACAGAGCTACAGCAGCCTATACCCATGAATGTGTTCATGTCAGCCTCACTCACAGAGTTGTTTGTATGTTTCAGCGTTCCCCAAACTGTCCCCAGGACAGAGGATTTCTCTGCAGGGCAAGACCAGATACCACTTAGTTGCCACTGGCTTGGATTGCTCCTTGTTTCCAACTAAAGACTCCTCTCTCCTGTGAAAGTCTGCAGGGTTGGGTTGACCCCCTAATTTTTTATCTCTGGAGTTCTGCACAACTTCAACACAAACTCCTCGCTTTCAGGAGGTAAGTACTCCAAACCCTTTAGTCCCCAACAACAGGCAAAGCTGGGATTGAATCAAAACTCAGCCAAAAAATCACACAAAAAAATATGTTTGCATCGTGAAACCCTTCCATGCAGTATTAGATGTGTATATAGGTCCCCTGAAGTTACTCCACTGAGAATTGGTTCATTCATTTATTCATTCATCCTGCAAATGTTATATTTCTAGTTCTATGTTAGCCACTAGGAATACATTGATAATTAAGGCAAATACAATCCCTTCCCTCATAGAATATATTGCCTAGTTGAAGAAGCAGGTAATTAGCAAATAACTACATTATCAAATGGCACTGTAAAAGAAAAAAGTAAAGTGAGTTCCTTAACAAGGAGATCTGCCAGGTCCGGACAGTCAGAGAAAGACTCCCTTAGGGAGCAACATTTGAGCTAAGCCATAAAGACAAAACATGAATTAACTAAGGGAACTAGGCTGGGAAAACATTTTAGGTTGAGGGAACAGCAAGGATGTAGGCTCCTCCAGAGCAGTATAGAGCAATCCTGATGTCACTAAATATACCTGAACTTTATGACTGGTGCACCCTTTTCAACCTTCAAGTCAGAATTGTTGTTATATAGGCAATAGGTTTATTCTTTTATAAACTAAAGGGAATGGATGTACATAAGAGAGGAAAGAGCAGTTTGAAGGGTGGTTTAATTATGGTTATCAAGTTCAGAATAAGATGAGATAGCAAACAGCTGATCTCACCTTTTACTACAAGCTAGAAGTGTACTGTCCAACATGGTAGCCCCTAGCCACATGTGACTACTGAGCCCTTGAAATGTGGCTAGCACTATTGAGAAACTCAATCTTTAATGCTTTTAATTTAAACTAGTTTAAGTTAAATTTAAAAACTAATATTTGATTCTTATACTATGAATCATATATATGATTTATTAGAAAACTTTAAAGCAATTTTGGAACAACTTAGCTATATAAATCAAGTTTTCCACTTGTAAATGTTATAAGATTAAATACAGATCAAGTTATTTCTTATGAAAATGAAGTATGCAAGTTGAGATGTTCTGTGAATATAAAATACACTGTACATCTAAGAATTAATATGAAAAAATGGATAATTTTTATTACACTAAATGACAAATAATTTTTCTTCAGATTACATGTTGAAGTGATCATATTTTGGACATATTAGTAAAATTAAGTTTACCTGCACCTTTTCACTTTTCTTTAAATGAGGTGACTAGAAAATTTACAATTACATATGTGACTTGCGTTATATTTGTATTGGACAGGGCTTATAAACTAAAGGCAAGGAACTTAAAATGTAGAAGAAGGAATTTTGATTATATGCTAGAAAAAACCTTCTGCTTCTACAACTGCTCTGGAATTCCTGTCTCTATGTACAACTTTTTTTTTTTTTTCCTGGTATGATTGAAAGGCAAGACTTTTTTGGAGGGCAAAATTGTCTGTCCTTTGTGTAATCTCACCAAGAGCTTCTATACACCACTGGGCATACATACAAGAAAAGATTACTAACCTTAAGATGAGCAAATATTTTTTTTTAAAAAAAGCTTTCTTCCTTTCGCTGCTCAATCCAACGATATGAGTCTGTGGGTGGTTGAGGAGGTAGGCTCTCAAACGACACCAGCTAACCAGCACTCGGAGATATACAGGTACAGAGAATGGGCCATGATCCTTCAGGACGTGTTTGCTTTGAACATTGCCTATATCTCACTTCAGACAGATTCTCTCAGCAATCAGATTACCAATACCTTAAGTTTCTAGGGAAAGGAATGACCAGATTTCTCTGATTCACAGGTGGGAAACTAGCCAGAATTGTGTGCCATAGTTGATGTAAAATAATTGAGTAATCAGATTTGTTGTATATACATGTTTATATGCAATGTGTGTATACATATATATATATAAATTCCTTTTTCAGAGTCCCCGTGATTGATAGTTTTTCTATCTACAAAAAAAGGGGGAATTTTTTAATCTAAAAGTATTTTTGGCATTATCTTTATTATATATCTTTAATATAATTAATATAACATAATATCTTTAAATATATCTTTAATATAACAGGAGTTCTTGGCTTTTGTGAGATGAGACTCTTGGAAATTTGATGAAAAGTATGGATTCTCAACTTCAGAGCACTGACACACATCCTGAAGCCCTCCATGAACCACCTGCAGGGATTGGAAATCTCTCCCCTAGAGCATGACCTTTTATTTTACTTTAATTTTGTCCTGACCATCCTCTAATAAATCATGTGAAATTGGGCAAATTTATGAGTATTTCTGGGCCTCAGTGTTCTTATCTATGAAATAAAATGATCTCTAAACTCTCCCTCTAAATGCTGTGCTCTAATGGTTTTATGTCCTATATTTTAATTTTAGATATGCAACTGCTCCCTTGAAGTTAAAAACTATTGGCCATTTAAATTAAAAACAACAAAATAACATGGATTTCATACTATAGGTAAAAGTACAATATATGAGAACAAGAACACAAAGTGTGGGAGGGAAATAATTGGAAATATGTAGTCATAAATTTTTTAAATCATTCATGAATTAAGAATATTTTTGCATATTGACTTGATAAGTTGAAGATGTATAATGTAAATAATGCATATTTTAATCTTTAAAGCAATCTAAATAATATAAATAGATATAATTAAAATGTCATTAGTGAGGATAAAGTGAAATACTGAGAAGAATTTTATTCACCCTTAAAAAAGACAGAGAAATAGGAACAGAGAAGCAAAAAGCTGAAGAGACAAATGGAAGTCAAACGTCAAGATAGTAGACTTAAATTCAAACTTATCAATAATTATATTAAATGTAAATGAACCAAACACCCAAATTAAAGGGCAGAAATTGTCAGTCTGCATCAAAAAGCAAAACCCTATATGCTGTTTACAAGAAACACATTTTAAAAGTAAAGACACAGGGCCAGCCCGGTGGCGCACTGGAGAGTGCGCCGCTTGGGAGCGCGGCGGCGCTCCCACCGAAGGTTCGGATCCCATGTGGAGACCGGTTCCCACTCACTGGCTGAGCGCGGTGAGGGCGCAACACCGAGGGTTACCGGTCAGTAAAAAAGACAAAAAGGAAAAAAAAAAGACACAAATAGATTAAAAGGAAAGGAATAGAAAGAGATGTGCTATGTAAACAGTAAGTAAAAGAAAGCTGTTATGGCTATACTAATATCAAATGAAGTAATCTTTAGGAAAAAGAATATTGACAAAGAGGAACAGGGTATTTTTTAATGATAAAAAGGCAATATAATCAAGCTTGTAGATAACCAATATACTAAATATTAAATACTAAAGCACCCAGATACATGAACTGAACAAAACTCTCAGCAAATCTACAACTATAGTTGGAAACATTAACATCTTTTTCTCAGTGATAGATAAAACAAGTAGAGAAAAATATTTTAACAACACTATCAACCAACTTTACCTATTTGACATTTATAGACCACTACACCAAACAAAAGCAGAATAAACATCCTTCTATAGTGCACATAAAACATTCACCATGATACACCACATGCTGGGAAACAAAATAATCTCAATAAATGTCAAAGGATTGAAATTAAACATAGTATGTCCTTTGGCCGAAATGGTATTAAATAAAAATTAACACAAATAAGATAACTAAAAAATCCCAAAATACTTCAAAAGTACACAACATACATTTTTTATAACCCATGGATCATGGATCAAAGAAAAATAATAAGAGACATTAGAAAATATTTTGAACTGAATGATAATAAAACACAGTATGCCAAAATTTGTGGAATACAACTGATGTAGTTCTTAAGAGAAACTTATTAGCTTTAAATGCCAATGTTATAAAATGTTGTTGAATGGAATGATGTGAAAACAATGGCCTCTCCTTTCACCTTAAAAAGCTGTGAAAAGAGGAAATTACACCTAAATAAGTACGAAAAGGAAAATAATAAAAATAAAATTGGAAATTAATGAAATGGAAAATAGACAAAATAGAGAAAATCAACACCATCAGAGATTCTTTGAAAAGACTAATAAATTTGATAAACCCTTGGAAGGAGTGATCAAAAAAATGTATCAATAGCAGAGGTGTAAGAGTATATCACCACAGTCCCTATAGACATTAAAATGATAATGAGAGGATATTATTAAATTAAATTTGACAACTCACACAAAATGGATAAATTCCTTGAAATACATGAATTACCAGAACTGACTCAAGAAGAAATAAAAATACAAATAGCCTTATATCTTTAAAAGATACTGAATTTGTAATCAATTTTTCACAAGGAAAAGTCCAGGCCCACATGGATTCACTGGTGGATACTATTAAAATTCAAAGAAGAATTAACACCAATTCTACCCAAATGCCTTCAGAAAATTGAGGAGGGAATGCTTCCTAACTCATTTTATGAGACTACTGTAATCCTTACTAAAGTATTCTACAAAAAAACTACTAGAATATATAAGTGAATTTAATAACATATCGAGATACAAAGCCAATTATACAAAAATCAAGTGTATTTCTCCATATGATCAATGTATATGTGGAAAATGAAAATTTTAAGAATACCATTTATAAAGCATCAAACAAATCAGATACTTAGGGATTAGTTTAAGGAAAGATGTGCAAGACTTCTCCACTTAAAACTATAAAACACTGCTGGGATAAAATTTTTTAAAACCCAAATAAGTGGAGAATTATACTATTTTATTGATTGGAAAACTCAATATTTTAAGATGTTCATTCTCTCTAAACTGAAAAGAGATTCAAAATTCCAGCAGGCTTTATCCTAAAAATTAGTGAGATGATTTTAAAATTTATTTGGAAGGGCAAAGGATCAAGAATGACCAAAACAAAAATATCGAGGGAAATAAAAGTTGGAAGACTTAATCTTACCTATCTTTAAGTCTTTCTCCACATTTTCAGTAATCAAGACAATGTAGTATTAGCAAAAGAAAAGACAAATATATCAAAGGAACAGAGTAGAGAGTCCAGAAATAGACCCACACATACACAGTCAAATCATCTTCAATAAGGGCACCAAAGCAATTAAAGAAAGAAAAATCTCTTCAGCAAATGGTGCTGGAACATCTTGATAGCCATATAGAAATGAGAAAAAACCTTAACCCCCACCTCACATGATACCCAAAAATCAACTTAAAATGGATCATTACTATGGGTCAAATGTGTCTCCCAAATGCTCATGTATTGAAAATTTAATCTCCATTGTAACAGTGTTAAGAAGGTGGGAAATGGGCCAGCCCGTGGCTCACTCGGGAGAGTGCAGTGCTGATAACACCAAGGCCACAGGTTCAGATCCCTCTATAGGGATGGCTGGTTGGCTCACTGGCTGAACATGGTGCTGACTACACCAGGCCAGGGGTTGAGATCCCCTTACTGGTCGTCTTTTTTTTTAAAAAAAAAAAAAAAAAAAAGAAGGTGGGAAATCTAATTATGGTATTTGAAAGGTGGGGCCTTTAAGAGGTGATTAGATTGTGAGGACTGTGGCCTTCTGAGCAGATTGATCCATTCATGGAGCAATGGGCACGGTTCTAATGGCTTTATAAGGAGAGTGAATGAGCAGGTTAGCTGACTCTTGCTCAGCTCATTCTGGCCACATGACACACTGTTGCTGCAGAGAGTTCCCACACAGAAGAAGGACCTCAACAGATGTGTTCCCTGGACTTTGGATTTCTCAGCCTCCAAAACTGTAAGAAGTAAATTTCATTCCTTTATAAATTGCCCAGTTCCAGGTATTCTGTTATAAGTAATAGAAATGAACTAATACAATCTTAGATCTAAACATGAAAGCTAAAATAATAAAACTTCTAGAAAAAAACATAGTATAAAATCTTCACAACCTTTGGGTAGATAAAGGTTTCTTATAGAAGACACAGAATGTATAGACCATTAAAAAAATTATAAATTGGACTCAATCAAAATTAAAATCTGCTTGTCAAAAGTTGCCAGCAAGAAAATAAACAGGTAAGCTAAACACTGAGGGAAAATATTCATAACACATATGTTTGACAAAGCATGTATATAGAGACTACATAAAGATCTCCTGCAGTTTAATAATAAAAAGACAACCAATTAAAAATGAAAAATACTTGAACAGCCACATCATGAAAGATGATACATAAATGGCCAAAAACAAAAGAAAAAGTGGTCAAAATTATTAGTCATCAGGGAGGGGTAAATTAAAATCACAATGATATATTGCTACACACACCAATAAGTGGTGAAAATAAAAAAGATTGCTAAAGCCAACTGTTAGGAGCATATGGAGCAACCAGAACTCTAATACACATAGGTGGGAATGTAAAATGGTACAACTCTTTAAAAAATGGTTTGGCAGTTACTTAAAAAATTAAGCATCTATCTCCACCATCATCCAGCAAGTCCACTCCTAGGTATCTATCCAAGTGTACATCCACAAAAAGCCTTGTATACAAACATTCGTGTAGCTTTTTTCATGATAACCAAAATTAGGAAGCAATCCAAATGTCCATCAAGAGAGGAATGGATAGGTAGACTACAGTCTATTCATGCAGTAGAATACAACTCACCAATAAAAAGGAAAAACTAATACACATAGCAACATGGATGAACCTCAAATGATATTATGCCAAGGAAAAGCAGCCAGACACAGAGAGTGCCTATTTCTGGAGGAGGGAGGGGGCAGGATTGACTGGGAAGGAGACCAGGGAGCTTGCTGTGATTTTGAATATGTTCTGTGTCTTAGGACGCATTTGTCAAAACTGATATAATGGAACGTTTAAGATCTGAGCATTTCACATTATATGTATTATATCTAATTTAGAAAAAAACACAAAAATGTAAGACAATTTATAGAAAAAATACCTGACAATGCTAATATGGAAGATGTAGAGATTCCAACCAGCAGGACAGGGGCTTAGGTTGAAGACACAAATCAAGAAGATCACTCATTTAGTCCCTTCCACTCTCCAGTTTTCGTTGGTGACATCATAAGATGATTTCTGCCTTTGCTCTATCATGTACACTCTACTTCGTTAAGAAGCAGAAAAACCCATCCATGCACTTCCTGAGCTCCTGAGCAGCGTTCTTTTCAGTGTCTCCACTGCACTCTCACACCCCATCACAGCACTTACCGCATTCTACTGTAACTGGTTGTTTGCAAACCTATCTTTCCTGACAAGCAAATGCCTGCAACACAGTGGATAATTAGTAAATGTTTATTGAAAGAATAGATAAATGGTTATGTGTTATCATTTATAAACGGAGGGCAAGTTGTTATCTTCTTCTCAACTTATTGTTTTTGAGGGATATTACTTACCTCTCTCCCCGAAGAACAGCTGTGTACAGGTGGATACACTGACTGTCTTGAACCAACCAATACAGAAGCCCATCACTGAGGTCTAAAGTTAGAGCAATTACCTAAATAGAAAATAGGGAAGCATGTTTGAAGCATACCTTTGTAAATAAGTCACACTTAAGCTATAGATTTCTCATTATCATCTTCTTTGGAATAATAAATTCAGTGATTTTTACCTTTTGCTAAATTAAAAAATTGTGTGATTATGCCTATTACTGTTATTTGTATATAAGCATGATTTTCTAAAATTCCCCAAAAGGCAGGTAATATCTGTTACTCACTTTTATGTACTCCAGTGGTTACCAAAGTGTTATTCTTAGACAGCAGCAGCAGCATCACCTGGAAATTTGGTACAAATACAAATTTCCAACCATACTCCAGACCTACTGAATCTGAAACTTTGAGCCTGTGCGAACGCTTGCCTGAAGCTAGTCATAACTCTGGACGCTTTAGCCCCACAAGCCAATGAGTTTTGCTCTTGTTTAACCCCATTGTTCTCAAATGTTGTTATGCATTAGAATCATATGTGGAGTTTTTTTAAAATCTCAATTTCCAGTATGCACCCTAATAAACTATGATTTCTGGGGATGGAACCCAGGTTCCAGAATGTTTTCAAACTTCTCAGGTAATTCCAATGTACCACCAGTGGTTTAAACCATTTTGAATTGTATTTTCTATTAATAGCAACCAAAGTATCCTGATACACTTTACAAAGATAATACAAAAACAGTATATGTGTTAAAATTGGATAGTCATGTTCATAGAAAGTCCTATTCCTGATGACATCTTAAAAACCACTCCTTACTACTCTTTTCTTTGTCATCTTGTTACAGTACATATCTTAATTTTATGTCCAGTTGTCTAGATGAGGCTTGAGGAAAGACTGTTTCTCCTATGTAATAGAGAGCATGAGAGAGATGTTACCATCCAAAGAAAAAAAAATTTTTTTTGCCTTCTTCTGCTTTACAGATATTTTTTGAATAAGCTGAGATTGCCAGGAGCCTGACCTCAGAGTAGAGGCTGAAACCTATAAGCTGAGACGTATCAGATAGGATTAAAGTATCAGATAGGACTACATCTTTAGCAAGGTACAGCAGCATTTAAACAAAAATGATGAGTCAATGAAAAGTGTAAAAAGAATACAATAAGGTGTCCAAGAACTAAAAATACTTCCTGACAGGTTACCCTGAAACAGTCATAAAGCACATGACCACAAGAACCCTTCAGTTGTCATATAAATCACAGCCTCTAGCTTCAAGAAAATTCAACTGACTCCTTCCCCAGAAGGTAATGTCAGGCCAAAAGAAAGAGATTTATCAGTGTTTTTTTTTTCCAGGAAAGTGAAATCAGGTTAATCTTGTTTGGTTATTTATAATGAGATGCATTAGAGTTTTCTAAATTAAAAATTAACTCTTTTGTCTCTGTGAAAAAGGAGATTCTACAATTCCTTTTGCTGGAAAACAACAAAGTATTCAAACTATAAATAAAACTCAGGTGTTGGTTCATTACGCCATTGCTCTGCATTACTCAGCCACCCCACATTTAAACAAAGTCAGAGAATTTTTCATAAATCTTTGGTAACCATTGTCATGTCTGGTAACATCCATACCTTGGAAATAAGTTCTTTAATTCTCTATGTTAAAATTCAATCTAATGGTAAAATGTACTATATACTTTGAGTTGAACTCATTAGATGTGGCAAAAAGTACCTTTTTACTTTAAATGAATCTCTTACTTCATTCTACCATTTCATCACACAAATAATTGTGTCTTTTTAAGAGTGATTGGCTGACTGTATTCCATTGATTGGGAAGTATCTTACGACTGCATGATAAATCTGTGAGTGACATAAATGAATGACAGTGAGATGGAGAGCTTTGCTGGGTGAAAAATGTGTTGCCTTCAAAACATCCACTAGCATTAATGGAGGTAGCTGAATCAGACATCAAACCATGGAACCAGAACACAGATTTTTTTTAAAGCAGCAACAACACTTGTCAGCCTAGGAAAGGATTTGGAGTGGGAATTTAAAGAAGGGTGTATTTACCCCAATATGCTCAAAAATCTAATGACTCATTCATTTATGGAGAAGTCTCCAGGGCCACTCCAGAGATTTTTCCTGGCTGGTGAGAGTGCTCAAACAACCAGATCTAGATAGGGACAGTGGAAAGATTACAACAAAGCCCTAGGGGCAGAGAGGAAGTTGCCCGAGATAATATTATCTTCCACATGCTTTTACAAAAATCAAAGTGCTTTCCCCTAACAATTATATTTGAGATATAACAAATATATATTTTCTTTGTATTCAGACTCAAATAGAATTTAAGGGATCTTTTGGTTATATAACAGAAATAATTAATCTTTGGATATGGCATATAAATTTCTATCTCTTTTAAATATCTGTGTTATAGTTTGGCATAGAAAAACTGGCTGATACTGATTGTATACAAACCTGTCCTTGAAATATAACCATAAAATTGATATTTTTGATCTTGAATTTCCTTTAATATGTTTAAGGCAGAGTTTTATGAACTGGCCAACAGCATGGTAATGAAAGTGTCTAATAATTATTATGTTATTATTGCTTATTCCAAAAGCACTGAAATGGTATAATCAATAAAATTGTAGCCTAATTTAAAAATAATAATAAATAAATATCTGTGTTATAATCTGTATATGCAAAGCAGATCTCTTTAAATATCCTAGAAATTATATTCCATATATCCTATGGAATTGGGGATCGAGTTACTCAACTATTTGTTCTTATATATACACTTTTTTAATGATCTGGTGTTATATGGGCTGTACGGTTAGCTCAGTTGGTCTTGTATATCTATATCATGTATATTTTATCTCTGCAGGAAAAAAAGACTAAAAAAAAAGAAAAAATTTATTGGGCAGAAATAGTGTGAGTGATTTATTTCTTAATAAATTTATTTCTTAATGCTTTCCTGTAATTTCTAAATTTCCTACAGTAGAAATATACTACCTTTGTGATCAGCAAAAATAAGATTCAGAAATTTAAATGTATACCTAGGGGTTAGCTAAACAGGTTTAAGAAATTAGGTAGTGCTTCTAGAAGTTGAAGAGGTAAAAGTAACATTTGTTTTAGAACTGTTTCTGTATCAGCTGTATTTTTCGGATTGAGTTACAATAATAAGAGCTTAACCACTGAGTATTTACCATGTGCCTGCACCTATTTCTACTACTTCAAATTAATTATCTCATTTAATCTCCATAACAGGGCTGGCCAGTTAGCTCAGTTGACAGAGCTTGGTGCTGACAGAACCAAGGTCAAGGGTTCAGATCTTCATAGCAGGCAGCCATCAAAAGTAAAAAAATAAAAATAATAATATTCATAACAACCCTAAAAGGTAGGATAATTGTTAACAGTCCCATTTTTCAGATAGGGAAACCGACACAGAAAAGTCAAATAATTTATCTAGGGGTAACACAGTTTTTAGAACAGTCGCACACAAAATTGATTGAAAATTGTAAAACACCTAATCACTACACAATAGTAAGCGATAAATTATTCCATAGAAGTCCCTAAAACTATTAAAACAGTAAGAAATTAAATGCTTTTAAGTGTGGGTGCACTTAAGATAAAGCAAACTACAAAAGTCTCCATATTATATCTGAATTTAAATAATCAGTTATGACCACCAAATAAGGCTTAGAGAAATTTTGGTTATATACCAAGTTTGTATTTCCTTTAAGATTCTACCTTAGCTACCCACAGATAACAGAGACAGTATTATCATTGCTATAGACTACCACCACTGTAGTTTGAATGTCCCCCCCACACTCATGTTGAACTTAACCCCAATATGGTTTTGAAAGGTTGGGCCTTTAAGAGGTGACTGGATTATGAGTACTAGGCCCTCATAACAGGACTAAACCATGCATAGAGTAATGGGTTACTGGTTTAATAGTTTACCATGGGTGAGGACTGCTGGCTTTATAAGGAGAACAAGTGAACACATTAACAAATGCTCTTGCCACTTGCTATGCAATGCCCTGTGTTGCCACGGGGCTCTGTAGAGGGTTCCCACCAAGGAAAAGCCCTTCACCAGATGTGCCCCCTGGACCTTGCACTTCCCAGCCTCCAAAACTGTGAGAAATAAATTTCACTTTCCTTATAAATTACCCAGTTGCAGGTATTCTGTTATGAGCTACAGATAACAGACTGATACAAGCACCATTTAGTATTATTAAATGATCAGATCTTATTTTTAATTTGTCACCTTTTTCCCAGAAAACCAAGGCTGTGACTGTAGTATAAGGGAGTTTTCCCCATTTAGCCTGGTGCTTTCAACTGAGTAGAGTGTGGTCCAATAGAGATATCCACCAACTGAATCCACCACCATGTCATTCACCAATAGCTTCACATGAGTCACAATGTCTGTGTGTCCTGTCAACACAGACTGCCTTTGTATCTACAAAACATAATAGTATGATCAGTTAATGAGTTTCAAATGATGTCATTATTTCTGAATACTCTATTGTCGTTGTTAGTAAATGGCTGCATTCATTCATTCATACATTTAACCACAAATATCTAGCAGCACTATGTGCTGGGTAGTGTGCTAAACCTTGGAAACATAACAACAAACAAATACACATGGCACCTGCCCTCATGGAGTTTATCTCTTGTCAAATCTCTAAAGAGAAGGAAAGTTATTTTAATTCATTTAGAGTTAAAATAGTCACTATTCCTAATCATACAATCAAAACATTGCTGGATAAGAATATATTTGATTAAACTCCTGAAAAAGATGTTTATGGCCTTATAAATGATGACATCTCTTCTTACTCCTCTCTACCAGTATATTTTCTTAATATTAATTATTACTACCACTATTGAGAACCTATTATGTGCCAGGCACTGTACTTTGAAAAATCTTTAAAATATGAGCTCCTATAATCCTCACATTAAGCCTATGAAGGATTTTTATTCCCTATTTTTTCATAAGTAAGCTGGGTTAAATGTAGTTAACCAATTTGCCCTGGAGTTAAACTGTTTTATGACAGGGCAAATATTTGAATGAGTTTTTATTTTTAATTAATTAATTAATTAATTTCTTCATATTATTCTCCTTTTTAAATTTATTTTATTTTATTTTTATTTACTTATTTATTTATTTTATTTTAACTTCTCAATATGCATTGTAGTTGATTTTTGTGACCCTTTACCTGTTCCTCTCCCCCCTCCCTTTCTCCCCTCCCCCCTACATCATATCTGTTCACTTGTCTTAAGTTCAAGGAATTGTTGTGATTGGTGTTAAACCATTTAATGACAGGGCAGATATTTGAAACCAGTTTTTATATCCACTCTTCCACTTGCTTCTTCAAAACTATTTTCTTTTTTTTTTTTTTTTCCTTTTTGTCTTTTTTCGTGACCGGCAACGGATCGCAACCCTCAGTGTCGCGCCCGTACCGGACCGGGACCGGCAATGGGATCGCAACCCTCGGTGTTGCTCCCACACCTCGCTCAGCCAGTGAGCGGCCAGTCTGTATGTGGGATCCGAACCCTCGGCGGGAGCGCCACCGCACTCCCAAACGGCGCACTGTAGCAGTGCGCCACCGGGCCGGCCCCAAAACTATTTTCAAACTAACCCAACTTAGGAAGCATTCTCTGATTAGTCCCATCCAACTCCATTCTGCTTGCGTATCTTTGGCACTTATGAATTCAGACTATACCATATTGCTTTGCCTCTAAATACATTGCTTTGTATGCTTCTTTTATAATTTCATATTTGTATTTTATCTCATCCAAAAAGTAGGGACAACTGGTGGTGGTTGCACAATGCTGAATATACTAAAAACCCCTGAATTCTACACAATGAAAGAATGGATTTTATGTTATGTGAATTATATCTTAATAAAGTTGTTATTTTAAAAAAAATAGCTGGATGGTTAGCTCAGTTGGTTAGAACATGGTGTTATAAAAAAAAGAGCAGAGACATGTCTATTACATTTCTTTATATTCCCTACCATGACTCCCCTCAAGGCTCTCAACATGCTGGTAGTACATAAATTGACTGTTGAACAAACAAATGAATGGGCAACACATGTCCTCCTGGTTCAAAAATTACTTCAGTGCCATATTTCTTGATCTGTCAGGCCAGTGTTCTCACCATTACCCATCATCCTTCTCTTCAAAGTGCACCACCGCACAGTTGCGCTGGAAGTCTTCATTTTCCCTGTCTGTTCACTCTCTGCCATCCTCCACCCCACTCTGTGCCCCAGAGGCTGACATCTGTGCACTGCATCAACTGGGCTCCCTTGTTCTCTGGCTTCCAGTGAGGTTCAGCCAATGTCAGGAGGAAAGAGGTGCGGGGACACTTGTTCCTTGTCAGACCATACATTTTGATAGTGGTGGGGTTTTTGTGCTTAAAGTCTCAGCTCTCCTACAGCCACAGCCCTCACCAGGTTCTTCCCTGCTTCCCCTGCCTCTTCACACGTGGAGTTGTATCTTCCCACACTTGCCAGCCCATGGGAAGCTTCAACATCTCTTATTCTGTTTCCCTAGCCCTGTCCACACCTTTCAAAATAGTCCCTGCACTTAGTCTCCTTTAGTCACGCCTTTGGAGTGTGCCATCTTCCTGCTGGACACTGACTATCAGGGGAGCATTTCAATGTATTTATTTTAAGATGTTACTGAAAATACGTAACTAGTACTACAAATAGTGATATAAAAGTTCCTTTACACATAAATGAATTTTAAAAGCAAGTAGGTTTAAAGACACATATTGAATAAATAACAGCATAGGTAGTACACAATTATGAAAAAAAAATCATAAAAATGGCATTCAAGTCACTGAAGTAGGTAGGCATTTTTCTAGAGTATCCAGAATGCCAGGCTTTAACTCACCACATATGTCTTTTCAGCCCAGTAGAGAAAGTGACCCAGCCACTCAAAAGCTAAAGCCCCTGCTCCTGTAATGTTCAGTATGTGATAATTCTCTGAGATATCCGTCCCATTCAGCAGCCACATATAAACGTCACCTTTCATGTTGCTGTAGTAGAGGCTGTTATTATACCAATCCATGTCTCAAAACAAAGTGAATTTTTAGTTATTTTTCAGGTATGTCAATGAAAACAAGGCAGTCAACAAATCACATATGCACCTATATATAATTTTAAAGCACATACTGACATAGATATTCACTAGAACTTCAAGGACTTGTCAAAAATATTTCAAAAATGTTATCTCAAAATCTTAACCCCTGGAACTGGAGAGAGGAACTAATATACATTGAACATCTCTTTGCCAAACATTGTCCTAGGCACTTTAAAAATCTCACTTAATTCCTAAAACAAACCTATTTAGTAGGCACTATCCTCATTTTTTGAGATGGTATACGCAAAATTCAGTGAGATTATCTATTCTAGCTGAAGCCTAACAGATGAAGGAGGGAGAGCCCAAACTCAGCGACTCCAAAGTGGCATTCTTTCCACGAGTGCCACACTACCTCGAAAGTCCAGCTCCTTTGTTAGTGATAAATACTGTTGTACTTTTAATGATGAAGCAAATAGATAAAACAATTAAACAATTATAGATGTTGTGTTCAGGCAAAAGCACTGTTAACCCACCCTCAAATGAAGACTTTTCTTCATTCTAATGCCTTCTAGGCAAAATCACCCATTCATTATACTTAAAAATCCCCTTTGTCAACAAATTTTTTCTTACACTTTATTTAGAACTCTATGCAGCAGTTCCTTGATCCAGTCTTATAGCAAACTCATAGTAAATTACTTACATATGAGTATAAGCTGTCTTAGGGGAATAAGATAGGTTGTTTCTGTGAGATGACATTAATGGATTAAAATACATGATTATATAAAAGCCTTCTTGAAGTTGGCATAAATCAGCAAATAACCTCACATTTTGTGAATTTATTAATTTATTAATAGGATCTCTGTGTGAGAACTAATGTTCTTAACAGTATCACTAGCAATATAGTTCAGTCAATATTTTTTCCTTTCACTATTGACCTAATACCAAAACACTCAATTATTTGATTTATTGAATAACTTGGCAAGTCATATGAGCAGAAACCCATCATCCAAGTGAACAAGGGACTTGGTGTTTACCTGACACATTTCTAATATCCGAGGATAAGAACTCTGATGGGCCAAAGCTATTTAATGGTTTACTCCAAAGTCCATCTTCTTTCACAGCCATGATAAATGGTGGTTCAGTAGCTATTTGGTAAGAAAGAAATTAAAAGAAATATTACAGAAAGCATACTTTTTAGGTACGTGTCTTATACCCTAATATCTCCTTTATAAAGTAAAAGAGAAATCAACATTGTGAAAAATACTGTAGAAGGATATGAGAAATTGTACCTGCTCAATAAGAAATATCTATCGTATTAAACATACTTCCTGATTTTTACATAAATATTTGCAATCAAATGTGAAGAGAAATATAGAGAGATGTTGCCTCTACAGCAGTTTCACGGTCATGGCAGAATGTTTTGTTGTTGTTTTGGCTACTGTTTGTCATGATCCCATTTGGAGCACCCAAGAAGCAAATATGGTTACAAGAGCAGTATAAATGGCATGGCTATCCTTCCATTTTTCTTTCAGCCAAGAGGGTGAAATTCAGCATAATTCACAGCCCCTCAACTTTTCTCAACAAGACCTTCAGATTTCAGGAGTGCTATTACTTAATAAACCATGAGAAAGAAGGAACCCATAAAGACAAAGAAAATTATACTGTTTCCCCAAAAATATCTTGGAAAGTTTAAAATAGCAGGTTAAAACATAAATTAAATGTCATGCAGTGCTTTTCTAATCTCAGATAATAAACACATACTCAAGATGTCAACACACCCTCATTCTAATTTCTTTACCAAATTTGAGGTAATAATTTTTAAAGGATACTCAGGCCAAGCACCTTTTTGTCAGAATTACCTTCTAAATCTAGAACATTTTCTCACCTGGCACCAGGGTGGTACCCACTGAGGACTCTGACCAGGGGCCTGGCCCCTTGAGAGAACTTGCTCTCACAGAAACCTTGTATTTCGTAGCGCTCTGCAGCTCAGGTACATTAAGCATGGTCCCACTTATGTTAGAGAAAACATGAGTGATCTCAGGATGGTCTTGGGTTGACACTTTCACCTCATAAGTCCAGTTATGCCAGGCAACAGGGCCTAATTAGGAAAGTTCAACAATGTCATTAACCAGGATGACATCAGCCAGGGCAAACCAAGGATTGTCAGCAAACTCTTCTACACCCTCATCTCAAATGGGAGAGTAACTGGGCAGTAATATTCGTTACCCCACTAATCATCAGGGTTAGTTTAATGGTAAGGCTAGAACAGCATCCATTCCTTCAGAAAATGCTTAATGGTAAATCTCTAATATAATTCCCAGTATTTGTATAGTATCTTCCTCCAAAAAGCCCAATCAATATAAAAAAAAAAAAATTGCTACTCGTTTTCAACCATCTTTGAGATATGCAGCAAACAGATGTAATTAACTTTGTCTTAAAGTAAAAAATAGCCAATGTTTGCTAAATACTACTGTCTAGGGGACCAAGGGTTAACAAACTATAGTCCCCAGGCCAAATCTGGTCTACTGCCTGTTTCTATAAATAAAGTTTTACTGGAACACAGCCACAGTTATTCCTTTCCGTATTATCTACAGCTGTTTTCACACTATAAGACAGAATTGAGTAGCTGTGACAGAGAGAATCTGACCCACAATGGTGAAAATATTTACGATCTGGCCCCTTCCTTACAGAAAAAGTTTGCTGACTTCTTTGCCAGATACTGTTCTAAGTGTTCTATTCATGTGTCTTAATTTAATCTGTAGGACAGTCCCGTAGGTAGATATAATTAATATTCTCATTTTCCAGTTGTGGAAACCAAGGCACACAGTGGCTAAGCAACTTGCCCAGGGTTGTTCTGCTAATCATTGGCAAGATCAGCATTTGAATCTGTGCAGGATGACACCAGAGTCCACCTGCTTACCCACCACACATATGGCCTCACTAGAGATGGAGATCCAAGTTCAGAGAGTTTGGGGGAATTGCTCAAATTCATCCAAAGTCCTGATAAATACAAAAATCTCAACCCAAGTATTCTCTCCCCTTGGCTATTCACTCTAATTAGAATTCCAGTCCCTGGTTCCTGGTAGACATTCAATAAACATTCAAACCATTCTGTTGGAATATACATGGGAAGTCTAGAGAGCCTCCTAATGCAAAACTAATAAATACAGAACAGATTTCCTTTTAGCTAATAGCTCCTCCTGGTTGATGACTGAGTAACCACATGTGGGCTCTCAAAATTGAATCACAATGCCAGCAGTTCAAGCCTTCCTCTCCTGCCTGTGAGGTCAGTAACCACCCTGGGGACAGTGCACTCACTGGCTCCTATGGCGGGCACCGGAGGCTTCCACTGAACAAGGGCCTGGTGAGATCCAAACAGCACCGAGAGCTCCTCAGGGCTACCTGGCAGAGGGTGCGGCTGGGTGGATGAGCCAAAGATGACCAGGTTACCAAACCCAAATTTTTCTATGTGACTCAGATCACATCCCACAATGAACTCGTTAAAAGACAAAGAGTCCTGTTGGAAAACAGCCTTGCTGTCTGTGACGAGGAAGTCACTGTTTTCACAAGCAAAACTCTGCACATAAGCAAAGGGGACAGCAGGGAGGACGAGGTGGGAAGCAGAGCCATCCAGAAATGTTGACATGAAGACTTGGGTGGTGTCATTGAAGTAAATGATTCGCTTGGACTGTGGCTTTACTGCAAAGTCCTTTAATGTGCAACTCTCCACGATACGCACAGCTTGAGTATCCCGACTAGATGGCACAGGGAGATCTGCTCTATAAATGCCGTCTCTCAGGAGATAAAAGACATACCTGACATAGGAACAAAAGAAGCCTGATGTGATACAATGCAAGGGTGGATGAGTAACTTCCTGGGCTAATTGCTTTATCCTGTTGCACATCAGAGCCATATATCTCCGGAGTCACTGAATACAGCATGTCCCAAGGTGCAAGAGGGTTAAGGTAATTACCAAAGACAGGCTCTATTCACTTGAGCTAGAAGCTAGAACTTTGAAAAATTTCAGTCTCACTTGTAATTCTTAGTCTCTTAATTACTGTAAGTGATTTTTAAGAAATCATAGAATTTAAGAACAGAAAAGGTCTTCAAAGATTTTAAAGAAAAACATCATATAAAAATTATATGGCTAAACATGTAATTTGCTATAAGACATTTTCCTCCAAAATACAAAAATTCTTAAGTCGAATTCTGTCAATAAATCTTCTCATGTATTTTTGAATGATAAATGGAAGAAAGCAAAAAGATTTAAAGCATTTTTTTAGTTGCTCAGTTATTTTGCTGTAACTATCTAGCATAACTGCTTTGCATTTATATTGAACTGAACTTTTCTTAAAAATATGTATAATTGAGTCAGGCAATAGAGCTACCATTTTACAAATATGAAAAAATACCCTACAAGTGAGCAAAGCAGCTGGGCAGGACCACCTAGCAATCAAGAGAAAGGAGTCAATGGAAGAATTAAAGAAACACACCTCATGGTAACAAGACTGGTGATCTTTTAATAATGAAAAAGAAAACACACTACCAAAATGTTTCATTGATAACCAAACCTGTCAATGAAATTTTAGCTAAAATATAAAACAATTCATTTTGGATGTAGTTAATTTAGAATGTGTGATCATGGAGACAAATGCTAATGAACTATCTTTTGGCTTGGTACATTATTCTTATCACAACACATGGGTTGGCAACATTCCAAACTCTCAGTACAACTGACAAATCATCCTGCTCTTATTCCCTTTGATGACTATTCCAAATCTTTCTCAGTATGCGCAGGACTCCTGTGGTCGAATAATATCCTGAGACGTAAACTCCATTTTAAGGTAGGAAGCTATGTTCTTTTTATTGAGGGAGGGTTATCACAGACGAAAAGCAGAAATAACTTGGCTCTTAACTTCCTGCTTTTGTTTCCTAAATTCAAAATTGTTAATGGAACTTGGAGGGATTTCAGAGTAGATAAAAGGAAAAAATATCTGGGGTAAAGATTACAATTATTGTACTGAATCAGGGAGGGGTGTGGGTCTGTAACCCTGATCACCACTTTGGAGGGGGAAGGAAATGAGAAGAATGGTTAGGAGGGCTGGGGTGTGGGACGAGGGGACAGCGGTGATGGGAAGAAGAAATGAGTGGAGGAAGAGGATCGTGGAGGGGGATAAGAGAAGAGGTTTATAATAAGTACAAACTCAATGAGGGAATAACTCAGTGGTGCAAAAATAACAGCATAAAGGAGGATATTTTGAATACCAGAAGAATAAACTGTTTCATACATCTCCTGTCTGTTAAGAACACTGTATACAAACTGTTGCTAAAAGTTACGTGCTTTTATCATGGAATAGGGAGATGAGTAGAAGACAAGCTCTGGTGCAAGAAGTCCAAAACTGGTTTCATTGCAAAATAGTGGCGTGATCTTGTACAATTACTAAATCATCCTCCAAATAACCTAAACAGGTAAGTATTATTATCTTCCCTATATGGATGGATAAAACAATGGTCTCAGACATGAAGTCACTTGCTGAAGGTGCAAATGATGCAATTTATTAGCACAATTGAGCTAAAACATGTCCATTTCGTTTGTGGCAGGAGGAAAAAAAAGTTAACTGTAATTGAAAATTTTTCCTTGTTATTAACCATCAATTTCTGTCTCCGAAGGTGGATGCTAGCAGCTTTCTTATTAAACTTGCCTCTTGATAGATGTGAGAACCAGACTAGAGAGATGAACTAGCACTGAATTGCTCAGCAAAAGGACCGTGTGCAATGCAGGGACTTCTCATGGGGAGTATTGAGAGGGGCAATGAGATCCTGAGTCCCACCAAATTAGTGACAAATTTAGGACTAAAACTCAGGTCCCTGAACCCCAGACAAGAGATCTTTCCCACATACCCATATTTTTCTGTGAAGGACAGAGGAAAATCTACTTCACTAGAAGAGGAGTCAATCCAAGACACAAAAATTTGAAAGAAATTTCCTCCCAGCTCTAAAGAATGAGACTTTGCCTGGATTTAATTAAATTTATCCAAAATACGATGCTTAGGTTTGGCTCATCTGGTACTACAATGTTTCATTAACAAGAAAGTTTCCCAAAGATTATTGCCAATGGAATAGAATTCATACTTACATGGCTAATACTTACCCATTGTACGAATCAGCCACAAGTTTCTGAGGTGTGGTAATAGAGGGTGGAGTAATTTCCTCAATATTTGAGCAGTTCTCTAAGTCACAGACATGTACCTAAAAAATCAAAAATACATCAGTAGGATTAGTGTCTGTCTATATTCAATTAAGCCAATGAGAATTTCTTGAGCATCTTTCCCGTGCTTGAAATTGTGCTAGTCACTGAGCACTTTTCGAACCAAACCAATGAATGAAAAAAAAAAAACCTTAAAAGCCAGTTTTATATAAACTCCTAATGAGTTTCTATCCTATTGGCATCAATGAAAAACGAGTGCCTATTTTCCTGGCTTGTAGAGGTACTCAACAATTTTTAATATGTAATCTGTATCCAAGATTGTGGGCTTCTAGCCATGGTGATGGCAATTGTTCACTGTGATAACCCTGTACCTTCCAAAAGAGTAGAACTTGAAACACGTCAAGACTGTGCTTTCTCAAATATTTCAGTACTCCTGTATTTTCAGAGTACTACCAAAGTTGCCTCTGGTTATTACAGAATTCAAAATGCTTGCAGTTGACATTAATTATGATGGACGGTCTCATCTAATGATAACACTCTCTTATGGAAGATGAATTATCATTACTATAAACTCAGGACTCCGAAAATTCACAAATAGAGATGACTTAATGGTAGGTCAGGACTAGTGCTAGGTAAAGTCTAGACCCTCCTATAGAGCAGATCTATGATTCATTGCTAACCTAGTATCTAAATCATTTAAGGACTCAATGAGTATGTGAGAGAATTACATTTACTTGTAAATATACCAGGACATGCATATCATTGTCAATATCTAATTATACACTTTAAGTTCTCAGACTAACCAGTTCATCCATGATGAAGTACATTCTTTGATAAAGCCAGTCTATGGAGATAGAAGAAATTAATCCTGAACCTTTGTAAAAAATTCTCAGGTCAGACACATCAGACATGTTGGCAGCCTCCTTCACCCATATGAGAGTTCCTTCAGAGAAATAAACAACTTGCTGGTGGATGTTAACTGATATTCCTAGAAGAGTCATGCAGGTACATATATATTACTATATAACAACCAGGACAAAAAACTTACATGAAGAAGAATTTATTTCTTTAAAGTTTCATAAAGAGATTAAAATAAAAGTCTTCTTTCCATTTTAGAAGAAAATGTTCCTCCAAATTCTTCTAACATATTAGAATATATTCTAGAAATATTAAAAAAATATTCTTCTATTCTAGAAGTATTTCTTCCAGAAAGTCTGACTCTTTGCTTTCACACTTAGGAAACATTCCTCTCTATTGTACTGACCTGTAATATTATGGTGTATAGCATCCGACCAAAGGCAATGTGCTTCATCTACTAAATGTTTTAAAGATCTTTTTCTTAGAGAAGTTTTTCTGGATAAAAAGAGCCACTGCTCCTCTTGTTGAACTGAAAAAATAGCATAATCTACAGACAGACAGACCTATCATATGTACACTAACACAAAAAAAGATCAATACTACTTTTAAAAGCAAAGGTAATATAGTACTTGAAAGAGGCTGGTCAGATTTCCTCTGAAGGCACTGGGGCATTTTATCTATGGTATAATCCACATTATTCCATGACTCGGGGTAGGAAGTACAGTGGCAATCAAGAAGGACTTACAAGTATGTGCCCTTAAATACCCCAAGATAACATCACACAAGGTATCATAGTTCTCAAGAACCTTGTCCCAATAAAAACTCAGCTCATTATCCTCAACCATGAGAACTTGTATGGTGGAGGTGGTTCAAACCAGGCCAGAGTGGCTTGTTGCATAGTACACACATACAGACAGACATTGGTTGTCTCTGAGTTGTCTTCAACACCTCTCCCTTTGAGGCAGGAGAAAAGTCCTTAGAGGAATGAAATCTGAGGGCTGCAGAACTTTGCTTGATGTCCTGTTTAATTGGAGACTAATGCAGGATACATGAATGGACACTTTTAGGGCAATTAATAAATGTTACGCAATAATCACAGTAACAACAGCCTTAACCCTGCTCTATATTTACTTTGCCCTTTGGACATGCTTCTTGCATAACAAAAATACTTCTCCTTCCCTAGAGTCAAGGAACAGCCAAAGAACTAAAGGCTGGTGATAGGTGACATTCAATACCAGCTGGCATAGGCATGTGCAGATTAGGGTAAGGGGCAGTCAAGTCAGCAAATGTGATTCTGGTGAAAATAGAAAACCAACTCCTAGAATTCTGAGTCTGTGTGTGTTATTAAAAATTCCTTTACTAATTTCTCCAAAAAAAAATTTCAGTGATTCTTAGAAAGCATTTTCTTTTATTATTTTGCTCACATAAACATCACACAGTAAGTATTCAGTTTCTCAAGGCAATTGTTAAAATACCAAAGTCAAAGCAGGGTACTTAAAAAATAATAACAAAGGATAATTTGGCAGATTGAATATTGAAATGTAAATTGTAAATTATTAAAGTCTAGATATATTTAAAAACTTTAAGAAGACTGGGGAAAAAAGGGGATATTTGATATGTATTAAATAACAATACATGCTGTACAATGGGGATTAGGGCAGAAAGTTGTATGTATCTAATAAGTCACAATCACTAGTGATATTAACTAGAACCAAGGATTTGTTTGAGGCCATTTTCTAAATCTGTAAATTTTTCAATTCTGATCTTAAATTCCTAAATTCTAATATGAAAGCTTTCAATCCAACCACTTTAATTTGTCAAATTCACTTAAAATTGAAAATTTACCAAGTAACTAGAAGACAATATTACCTGGGTAGAAGCAGCGGGGTCTTGAGGTCTACCAGATAACCTAGGACCTCTGAGCTCTCAATCCACCCTTGCCACCCCTCATTACTGAGTAACAGAAGGAGCAACCCTGGGCCATACCTGCTGGAGATGAAGTGGTAATACTAGATTTTGCTTCTGGCCCCTCACCAACTTCATTTACTGCTGCAATAGAAAACCTATTCCAAAAATAATTTGGAGAGATGTGTTTTATATGGCATGGTGTGAACATGAGATAAAAATAGAAGGAGCAATAATATTTCTATTTAAAGGACAATGTGGCAATGCATATATCTAGTTACTTGGTGCCACTGCTCAGAACTAAAACGACCATCAATCACATCCTTGTTTGCATTCCCCATAGAACAGTTCAGGGTCACGGAGGTCAGAAACTGAACTCTGCTATCTGCCTGACCCCCATAGATCCCCTAATTTAAAGAGACAATAGTAAACACTAGGAAAGCTAACAATAATAAAATAATCCCCCTAATGGTTAATAAAGATACCATTAACAGAATTTCACCTCCTTACTTTTTTCACATTGGATTAAATGAAGAAATGACATTCATAGTGTTTAAATGTCTTCATTAGCCCATATTTATAAGGATGCTCTGAATATAATAGAAACACTTGAGAATGTTCTTTGCTTAGGAGGGTGTAATCTAATAAGCATATAAGCTTAAGGAAAAACACAACTTCCAATCCAAAAGCACAGACTCAGTGGCACTTCTCAAAATATGTTTAAACTACTGTATTTTTTAGCCATATTTCTTAAATAATTATCATGCCTGAAGCCATGCTGATTATATTTTCCTCTGCACCACTTAATTCTTACCTGTAGGTAGTATTTGGTAGAGTGGAGTAAAACTGAAAACTGGTTCTCTGTGTCCCTGAATCTAATTTGTGATTTCTGCTGATTAGCCTTAAGTTATAACCCAAAATAGGTCCACCTGGAAACTGGGGTGGAGCCCAGCTGACTTCCACAGTGTCGGGACTTGAGCTCTCGATATTCCTAATGCAAGGAGCAGTTTCAGGAACTGGAAGAGATAATGGTGACATTAAATAAGATAGGGGAAAAAAAGCCTTGTTTTTTGAAAAGTTAACAAACACAATATTTTTTATTAACGATCAAAATACATCATAGAGAAGGTGGTAAGATATCTATGAACTTATTGTTATTTCCTTATATCTATGAACTCATTCTTATTTTGTTTATTCTTGAGCTGTAATTCCTGATCCCTAATTATACCAGTTAGCGACTCCCCCAAAAGACTCTTTCAAATGTTATGTTCCTCACTTCAAATTTATGAAGTAAAATTAAATATAAAAGCATACAAATAGTATAAACGTTCCAGAAAAAAAGTTGTCAAAAATCCCTAGAGACTTAAATGAGTTGAAGCGTGGAATGGAACCAGGTTACTGAGACCAAGAGAATCTAAACAACACTGGAATCAATGATTAACATGGGTTGAAGAAAAAGTATGTCCTGGGGCCTTTTCACTCCCTAGACTGCTATAGCCTGACTGGTTCCACCTGAAGATGTGGCCTCAGATAAGCCAGAATTAGAACAGTCTGCTTCACTTTTGATGACCCAGGCTGTACCTTCCTTACCCCAGCTCTCAAGGTCCCTGGGAATACAGGCTGACTGAGCTTTAGCACATCCCTGCCTTCACCAAGGATTAAAGGAGCATGCATTAAATGATGAAGTACTCACTCACAGACTTTAGAAGCTACCTAAGTGGCAGAGAATGGAAAGGGAAAATGATCTGACAGCCTATCTTCCATCCACCTACTTTTTATACCCCCAACCCCTGTAACCACACTCTTTTATTTCCTTTCTATAGAAAGACACACTTTGATGTCACTTTGCTCTTAAATAGACTTCTCTCCCTCTGAACACTTTTGACAAAAGCTCTGCATCACCACTGACTCACTGGAAATGGGAGAAATGAGACAGTTCAGCCCTCACGGTGGATGTGTTTTTAAAAATCCTCTTCATTGGTCTCTCAGCCTTTCTCTGATACAATGCCTGCCCGACTCTCAGACTAATCTTTGGCAAACGTAAACATCATTGCATCACTCCTCTGCTACACATAATTAGTCACCTTGGTGAACACGCGGAAGAAGGAAACATCTCCCACTGAATTAGAATCAGAATGTCAAAAAAAAAAAAAAACTCTAACTCATTAAAGTCAGTGTCCAAACATGATCTGCTCCATTTCATACAAGTTAAATGCCACCTACATGGCAAGATGTGATTATTGTCCAAATCTTCCCCACAAAATAATCCTCCCTGAAAGACTGGTTTTTCTTGCCTGACAACCATTCCTCTTGGTTAAGAAATTATCTTCTAAAGGGCCCCAGTTAAAAAGCAATAATATCATTTAAAATCACATAATCCCCATAAGTAAAAGAGAACAGGGCTATGAGGTGATGAACACAAAACAGATAAGTTTTAAGGTTTGATGAGGCTGGAAAAGTAAGAGAGTATCAGGAGCCTGAGATGCTATCCATGGAAGGGACCCCTGGTGTAGTGTCTGGAAGACCTGGAGGATACATAGGCTTGTGCATCCAGGGGAAAGGCCCAGAAATGGAAAGCAAAATGTGCCTTCCTCATTATTTTGATTTAATCAGCCATGGGCCCTGGACCATGATATTTCGTTAGCACCAGAAAATGTCCCAGCACTATTGGAGTACATGAAGCATGACTTGGAACAAATGAGATCCATGCATTCTGTTCTGATGTGGAGTATTTCAAGCATGGTCCTAGGCCAGTGTCTAACCTGAGGTTCTAAGCAAGGATAGTCAGAGAATAATCAGAGGTGGCCACACAAACCCTGAGATCTGCTAAACAAGGAGAGGACACTCATCAAGGAAAGGGGAACTTGTCCAGCCAACTTCATCAGCTGCCTGGCTCTGCGTAGCTCTACTTAGTTCAATCTGCGGCTCTCTGCACACCACCGCATCTCCAGAACTGAGGGGTAGGGCATCCATCCAGCCTGTAGCAAGTCTTCCCAGGTCACCTCAGCTAACTGAGGGCATGGGCACCAGACAGCTCTCCCTCAGTGTCTGCCCCAGGCACCGACTTCCCTGCAAGGCTTCTAGGTCTAAATCTTTTTCCTGGTGTGACAGTCACATCTTCAAAAGAAGAAATCAGGAAGTGCACGATATATGTACTATTTTTTTTTTAATTATCTCTGGTAAAAATGTCAAGATATTGTAATAACCTCCCAGCTGGTCTCTACCTCTGTACTTTCCAATCTCTCTCATTTGCTCAACCCATTCTATGGGTAGTTTCCAAAATTCTCTTTTTAAGAAGCATGTGAATCAATGACTCTTCTGCTTTAAATTTCTCCATATCTCCTAACTGCTTTCTAAATAAAGTCCAAACTCCTGAGCCTGCTCACATACTCATTCTCACCATTCTCTGCCTGTATCCTACACTTCCAGCAGAGGAATATTTACTGTTTTCCCTGCATGCCTTATAATCCGGTCTCTATGACTCAGCTCATGCAGTCACCTGGACCTGCCCTCTCCTCTCCTCACCTCAAGTCTAAATCAACAAACAAAACTTCTCCAGAGAGGTTTCCTTGACATTTCATTCCAGAAATAATATCCCCCTCCTCTGAACTTCCATAGGAATTTATCAGTACCTCTCCTGTGCTTTTAACCAAGTGTTACCTTACTGCAAGGTTATTAAAGGAGTAAGCTTCTCAAAGGCAGGATCCATGCACCAAGACATGCTCCATGAGTATATTTGGAACAAGAGAACAATAACATTTATTAAGAACTAGTATTGCTCTGATGAAGAATATACTAGTATTTCAAAGAGGGAAGCTCAGGTAAAGCTATATCCTGAGAGAGGAACATTCTGAATACAGGTTGGGAAAACGGCGAAGCTGGAATCTCACAGAAAAGCTTTTTATTGCTTTCCAGAGATAACGTGACTGTTATATTCAATCGCCCTCATTTTTAAACACTTCTTTGCTTGCCTTTGAGACACCACAAGCTCCTGAGTTTGTTCTTCTTGGGGCTCTTTGCAGACCCTCCTCCTCCTCCTTTGCTGTCCCCAGGGCTGACACCTTGTCCCTCTCCTCTTTTCAACCCACATTCACTCTTAGCCTGTCACTTCCAGGCCCATGGCTTGAAGTCACATCTACATGTGGAGGACTCCTCAACTGGTATTTTGGATATCTCCAACCTGCTCCGAGTTTCTGATTCATTCATCTAATTGCCTCCGCGGCCTGTCTCCACTCACGTCTAACAGGCATCTCAAATTCAACTTGGCCGAAACAGAACTTCTGGTTTTTCCTGGGAAAGCTGCTCTGCTCCTAGCCTTCCCTGTCTCAGTACACGGCAACACTTGGCAACATTCGTGTTCAGACTGAAAGTCTAAGTTACCATCTTGGCCCTCCACCCTCCCCACCAAATCCATTCAGCAACCCCATCCTCTGTGTCTTCAAAATATGTGACAAATCTTTCCACCTTCTCCACCCCAACCACCCAAGTCTGAGCCACTGTCATGATTTGTTTGGACTCCTGACTGCTCCCCTCCTTCCCCGGCCCACCTCCCAGCCCCCAGTCTACTCCCCATGCAGCAGCTAGACTGAAAATTTTAAAACTGGAACCAGCCCCTTCCCTGCTTAAAACTCTCCAAAGACTTGCTGTCACACTTAAGATAAAACTCACACACCTTATCACTGCCTCTGTAGCCCTCCATGACCAATCCTCTGGCTGCCTGGTGGTCTCCTCTCCTTCTTTCTCCACCTTGCTCCCTGCACCCCAGACACAGCCGCCCTTCCTCAAGTCACTCACCTTTGTCCTGCCCTCTTCCTGGAAAACTCATTCCTGGATATTTGCATGGCTTCTTGTCTCTTGTCATTCAAAGCTTGGCACAAGTGACTTTCTCAGAGAGAACTTCCCTGACCAGCCCTCCATCTAAAATGGGCCCCCTCCTCAGGAACTCTCTGTTGCTTACCTACCCTATTTTACTTTTCTTCTTAGCACTTAACTACTATGCAAGATTATACTGTATTTTTTGGTGAAATGCATGCTCATTCCTCATGTTATACAAGGGAAAAATAGAATTAAAAGACAATACAAATCTTTCCATGAACTTTTTGAAGTATGCTCGTATCTAACCATAAATCTGTGTAAATACTTCTGTCTCTTACCCCACCTGATTACCCCCATAGAGAACAAGGACCTGCTTGGTGGCAGCAGACATTGTGCCATAATTCCTTATAATTCAGAGGCCTAGAAAGAAGCAAATTGGTCTCCTTTTCCTTCCCTCTCTAACAAAATCAGCAAGAGACAGAAATGTCTGCTCTGCAGGCTCAAACTTTCCCTTAAGTGGGTTTTTCTAACATCTAAGCTGGGGAGCAGGAAATCAGCAAATTCCTCCCGCTTTCGTTCATGCTAAGCTATATCATCCAACTTAGTCTTTATCAGAAATAATGGTGGTATTCCTGCACCCCTCTGCTGGCCTTTTTGTTTTATCTCTCATTGGTTCAGAACTTGGGCTAGGAAGAGGGATGCTATTTTTGGGGTCCCATCACAACCCCAGCAAATTATTTTACTTAATTATTGTCTGACTGTCTCCCGAGCTGGAATGTAAGCCCCATGAGTGTTAGGACTTTATCGTCTTTGGTTCCTAAAACAATGTCTGCTATATAACAGGGGCTTAAAAAATTCTTGAATGAACAAAACCAAAAAAAAGTACCTGAACTTCCATTCAATGGTATTAAAAATATAATACCAAAATAACTAACTTTACAGGAAAAAACAAAAAACAAAAACAAGAAAGGAGGTGAATCTTTTTATAGATTTCGTTGTTACACAGCCAAAGAGGTTTATAGCCTAGGCAACAAAAGGACTAAAAGTTATATCAAGAAATATAAAATCCAGACACTTCTTCCCATACCACTACCACCCCTCGGCATCTCTCCTGTCTGTCACTGCAATGACCTTCTACCGGGTCCCCCTACTCCCTACCACATCTCCCACAGTTCATTGTCCATATAGCAGCCAGACTGAGCCTTTTCACATGTAAGGCAGGTCACAGATCATGCTGCTCCTCTGCTCAAAACCCTGCGGTGGCTCTCCTTCCCGTCACAGTAAAAGCCACAGTCCTTACAAAGCCTCAGAGGCACACTGTGATCTGGCCACCACCTCTCTGACCTTATCTGTTACTCCTCCACTTCCTCCTCTCTGCTCCAGCCACACAGCCTCTGAGCTGTTCCTCACAGGCCAGGGATGCCTTCACCTTCAGGCTTCTGCTTGGAATGCCATAACCCAGGTTTCTGCTGGCTGACTCCCTCGCCTCCTTCAAGTCTTTGCTCAGACTTTAACCCACCAACTCAGTGAGGCTTACTCTGACCACCTTGTCTAACTCTGCAACTAGCCTCTCCTTCCCTCCCTGCTCCCCATTTCCAATCTCCTAAAGGACAAACCCTGCTCAAAATGTTTCTCTTACCGTAGCACACAGCATCATCCAACTTAAGATATACTTTCCTTATTTATTATGTTTATTGCATAGAGTATTCCTCCTCCACCAAAATGTGAGCTCCACAAGAGCAGGGGTCATTGGCTATTTTGATGCAGAGGTACAGCAAGGAACTAGGACACTATTTGGCCTGTAGTTAGGTACTCAATTGTGGAATGGATCAATTAATAAAGGAATTTATTTCATTGTTTAAAGTAAAAACAAAGTAAACCAAAATTCTGAAATAATGTCCTTCATAAGCAACATATGCATGCCATACCTCCGTAAGGATGAGTCCTATAGCTGGGACTTGGGGGAGAATAAAGCTGCAGCTGGGCTGTGAAGATCCAAACCAGTCGAAAAATATATTCAGTGAAGGGATGCAGGGGCTCTACCACATATGAGAGCTTGGACACGGCCTAGATCAATGAGAGATCAATAATTAGCATTTATAGAATCACCACCACACACTGTGACTCAAGAGTAGAGATTTAATTTACAGATTAAATTGTAGAAGACAAATAGCCCTCTAGATATTGGGCCACCCAGTGCCTGCCAGAGCCAGATGAATAGAGGCCTGGAGCTTAGGGCCGAGCCATCCAGACATCAGTCTACATAATTCATACAGAAATTCTCTCCTTCCAAATTGCAAAATTATGGATTCAATTCTTTAGCACTTATCTCAAGGATTTGCTTAAATTTTTCTACATTAATAGACTTGGCATCTCAAGACTATTTTTTTCTGAACTTGCCTATGCTTTCCTAAAAGGGACAGTACTGGATGACCACCTTGGACAGCACTTCTAAATCTGATCAACTCCCATGAGAATCTTCCTCCTGCCCTCCATCCTACTGGGAATCATGTTAGCTGGGCTGGGCAGATAATGACCAGTGGGATGAGTGGTCATGCTGAAGGAAGAGTATCTATGTCCACAGTATATTTCCCACATAAAATAAAGGGTTTAGCATTAACATGTTATAGAGTAGCAGTAATTAATGTTCATCTAATCCAATCACTCATCTTATGCTTGAATCTTTTCTAGAATGCCTCTATGCCTATGATTATATGGAATAATTTGGCACTTTTAATAAATGGTGGGGGAGTCTGTGCCTAGGTACACAGGCAGATTTCATACCTCAGTGTAAGTCCAGCTTCCCGGAAGTTGCGTGTATTTCCACTGAACAATGTATTTTACTCCAGAGATGTTGGCAGGTTTCCATCTTAAGGTCACATTATGGCTTCCAATGGAGGAAGCAAAGGGCGCTGTGGGGAGGTGTGCATTTTCTGGGGAGAAACAAGGTTTCCCTCACCACACACTCCTGTCCATCAAGGCAGGAGGGAGTGTGCCTGTTTCATTAGGACTCTCAGCATTCTCTTGCAACAATTACATCTTGCCATGATAACTCACCTGAACAATAAATGTACACACAGCACACATTCAATTGGTTTATTTTTAAAAAAAATCAGGCAGTCAGTCTGGAGGCTTTATTTCCCACAGAGTTCACTGTTATCTTTGAATACAGAATTTTTTTATTTTAATTTAATTTTTTTTGGCAGACACACTCAGAGTGTTCTGAGTCTGTCCAGTTTTCTCTTACAATACTACTTCCTTACAGGTTTGGGGGGGTGGAGGGGAACATGTGCACCGATAGCATGTCTGTGGCACAACAGAATCATGCATTGCCCCAGAACATGTACTCCAAGGTATATTTGAAATGTTATGCTATAATTCTATTACTGCCCATCTTGTCAATGAATTATTTTTTATATATACAAAGTAACTGCCTTTACTCCAGAGGACTCTAAGTTCAGCAATTTTGCATTAGAAAATATTTCATGGCTTCTAAACACTACAGACATTACAATTGGTGACACACATTTATTGGTGCTACCTGCCAAGCACTGTACTAGGGGCTAGGTTTCTGAATGGTAAGTACCACTGGAATCAAATTATTTTATTTTACTTTTCCTATCTTTCCAAAATTGTGATGAATTTAATGCTTCAGTGTTTCTTTTATAGAAAAAAAATTACTACACGAAGAATGATAAATTTGGTAGGGAACTTAAAATGGTTAAATACAAATTCCCAGGACCTCACTCTTTCTGGTTAAAAGAAAATAACACAATTCTCATACCAGATGCTGGTATGGACTAATTAAAGTTCATAGTGCTATAATTAAAAACCTAAAGCCATTGTCATCTGAGAACCGAGACCACAGAGTGGCCCAGACAGCACACACTTCTCGACTGATTCTTTTACTTCTGGTTCATTTTTGGCTTTGAGCTATATAAGAAAAGGACAGCTCCACTTTTTCCCCCTTTTATGGTGTAAGACCCTCAATATCAGAGATTGGAATACACTGTGGGCATCTTGAAAAGGAGTCCAATGATTGAGTTATCAGCAGACTGAGAGAATAATTAGGAGGCATCAGAAATCACATAAGTTGAAAACTGTGCAGAAGGGACAAGAATTATACAAACACAAGTAAATGTAAATTTCATAGCAAAATATAAACATACGTTCCAAAGCCGTGGTGATACACATGGGAAAAACAGAGGTAAAATAGGTTTATTCTAAAATATCAAGACAAGAGTGAGCCAAATGAGAAAGAGAAGCTGGACTGAGCTACATGCCACTTTCAATATGTGGCAGAGTGGGTAAGAAAAGGCTCTGCAATCAGACAGCTGCCTTAAAACTTAATTAATTGCTTACTAGTTATGTGACACCAAGGAAGTATTTAAACTTTGTGTCTCAATTTTCTCATCTGTAAAATGAGGTTAATAGTAGTATTTATATATGTGAAAACAAAAAGAGCTAAGACCTGTAAATTAGTGAGAAAAGTGCCTGACTCATAAATGCCTGAAAAAAAGTAACTATTCTTATTTTAATTTATTATTAGCTATTATCATTTCTCACCACATAGAAAGGGGCATAGAGGGTATCTAAAATCAAATAATATAGCAGACCCGCAGATAAATGGACCAGATACCGTAAGTGTTAGAGACAAACAGAGTCTTAGGTGTATGGGCAAAATGAGCCATTATAACAAACTAAAGATACTCTCCTGTAAGCACAAATGCCTTTATTTTGATTCAGTACATCTAATTTGTTAGTGGTTCAGAGATATTGATCCACAGCCAATGAAAAATTAAAAATAAAGTACTGATTATGCTTGTATTCTAACAGAATCATACAATTAAGTTGGTAGTATAATTTTGGAATATAAGGAAAGGATCTAAATCAAAAGTTTCAAACTTTCTTGGTTCTGGTGTTATTAATTTTTCAGTAATTTTTTCACGGTTCCCGGGACCCAAAGAGCCACCTAACAGTTCCATTTATTAAGTATTATAACTTTATAAGTATGTATGTATGTCCTAACAACTTAATAGATGTTTGAAAAAATAACACAAATTGCAGAACAAAACCATATATTTGTTTCATCCTTAAATAAAAATAACTGCATAGTGCTGGCATCTGCGTGCCTATTGGGCACTGCACAACTTCTCCAGTTCTATAATCTGATTGGGAACCACAGTCCTCATTTCTTATTCCATGTTGAATTTCTCATGGTACTTACTTTTTATCACAGCAATTGCCAAAAAACAAAGCAAAAAAAAAAAAACCCAGCATTGCGAAGACATAATGTCATAGAAAGGAATGTAGCATGATCTATTTTTCATACTGTGAACTGTCTCCAACCAGTAGATTCAGTGGTGTCCAACAGGTGTCCACAATCCCTGTGTTTCCTTCAAATATTTAAATACCCCACGGCTCCCTGTGAGGTTGCTGTGATGCCCTGGGTCACTTTGGTTCACAGTTTGGAAACTACAAAATGTAAGTTTTATTCACAGCTGACTCCCACAACACAGAAAGAAAAAAATGTCATATCACTACCTCTCCACAGAAATGTCAGAGAGGGTCTTTGGTAGGACACTAAAGGTCAAAAGCAAATCGGTACAGCAAGAAGTGATCCTCCTTCCAATATCCATCATTGAGCGCAAGGAGCAAGCCATAGAAACAAGGACCACAACATATGGAAGAGCCAAGCATCTCCCAGTCTGGAGAGAACTGCTACCTCTCGGTGGAAGGAGACCCTAGGGGATTCTGGAAAAAGCTGCTAATAGCCAGGGTATAACTTATCAAAATGTTGGCCCTTCAGAATGCACTGGTGAATTAACACACTAGGGCAAAGCCACTGAGACACGCCCAGCCTACTCTGAAATCAGGCAGAAGGTGCTGATATTCACCCACCTCTCTTACTCAAAATATAATACTGAGAGGCATAGCTTCTATACTTATCACAAAGTCCTAGAGCCTTTTGTGGAGCCATGCACATAGTAGGTAGTCTGATGAGTAACTGTCAGCTGAATAATAAAATGCACGTTAAATAAAATATGCCTATACTTTGAGTTCATTAAAACAGTGGCATTCCCTGACATCAAGTCTGCACAAGATGTGCATTGGTCTCTCCTTAAGACAGAAGTGACTGCACCTACTGAACTTGAGAGCAAAAATCTGGTCCTGAACATCACTCATGTGCCATGTTTCCTTTGTTTAGCTCTGAACGAAGAGTCTTGCTGAGTCTCTATCAGAATGGTCTTCCCATTTGAAATCACTGAATTTTCTCCATATATATTTTTTTGATCCTACTAAGACATAGAAGTCTAGAGAGTTTACAAGATGGTTCATTATCCTTACATAGGTACACATCCCTAGAGTGGTGTGGATTACTTAACAACAGTCACATGTGTTTTCTTACCTAGTACTTCCTCTTCATAAGCACCTTCTGCTCTGCTGCAGCCGACCTCACATGATTCCCGCTGCAGAAAACAGGTAGCATGCCCGTCAGTGCAGCCTTTGTACTGGTTTTGTTGATAAGCTTCAACTAAATTTTGAAATCTGAATGGCCGATGTACAAGTATGTCCTTATACCAACTTTTCAACTGTAGTACCTTAAAGTTCCCACTTGCTAGTGGTATTAGACCAGCACTCCCCAACTTTTTTTTATCATGTTCCAAAGCAAAAAATAATTTAATAAAATAACTTAGTACACACATACATATTGAAAAAAAAGATTTTTAAAACAGTACTTACTTTTTTCCCCCATATTAGCAGTTTTACTGAGATATATTCACATACCATAAAACTTACCCATCTAAAGCACACAGTTCAGTGTTTTTTAGTATATTCACAATTGTGCAATCATTACCACAATCTAGTTTTAGAATATTTCCATCATCCCAAAAAGAAACCCCATACCTGTGGTGTGTTCTTATATGTTAATTTCTATTCTAGTCTACTCTGTTTCATTTTGTTTAAGGTGACTATTGATTTACTGAATTGATTACATGACTCCACAGTTTGAAAAAACACTGAGTTCAACAATCCAATCATGTGTTTGCCATCTTAGCCAGAGTTTTAATGAGCTAAAAATCTAAAACTCTAGCCTAACATAATGCTTAGAGATTGCGTATTTATTTTATATATCCATGCCTCCCTTGGAAAATTAAAAGTTGACTATAAATTTTATAGTAGCAGAACAGTTTAATGGATGTCTTAACACCAATGTTGAATTTTAAGGTCTAAGAAAACTTAATGACAATGAACGTTTTATCGTATTAACCAAAAACAGAGTACACAATTCCATGACTGAAATGCAAATTTTCTGCACCTCTTAACAGATGCATTAACATTAGCAATAGCTACAAACAAGAAAACAACAACAAAAACCTTGGGAAAAAGGCATACATCGTAAAACTACAATACAATCATGATCAGTTTTCCACTCCAATTTACGATGGCAGTTCCAAGAACAACATGCTATTGTTCTCATGACAACAGTGGAAACCATAGCACAATACATTTGCCCTAAAAAGAAGGGCTGTAACTTGCATATACAAATTGTCCAATGGTTGATCTGTGCACTAACAGGAAGTGGAGTCTGATACGCCCTGGTTTGCTTGGTTAAGTATTAATTTAAATACCTCAGTTTGGGTTCAGGATTCTTTAACTTAAAGGTTTAGTATACTTTTTACATCTCCTTTGCAAATTTCAGTAAAACGCATTCAACATATTCACTAACCACAGAGAATAAACAAACCAAGTGGCAGTAAAATTATTATATCAGCTGAGTTTTTTTCTCAAGAAAGAAAACTGAGGAAGAAGAAAAGATATATATCTGGAAATATAGCTAGTCCTGATAATCTGGAGAAATTGTGACTCTTTTTCTCAGATTTTTTCAAGGGAAGTATATAATAAAATTCCTATCTGGGAGTTTAAATGTTATCTCAAGTGGAGGCAAAAATATCAACTAGGTTTTCCTTTCTCTCTCTCACCTCTCTGTCTCTGTCTCTCTCTCTCTCTTTCCCCCACGTGGAGGCAATCTATCACTAGACCTCAAATGAAGCTTTCTAGTGTTTCTCAAGCTCAAATTGCCTAGAGAGAATCTTGAGGTGGTTGAATCTCAGGAATTCACAGTATCTGAGCCTGAAGCCCCTGGATGGGACATTTACACAGCATATTTCAGGTTACTGAGCTGCCGTTCCCACGGTGGAAGCCAAGTTTATTTTTCCCAGAGGTGACATCAGCCTTCTACCTCTGTTCCCACCCACACTCCCATTTTCCCCATAGTAGTTAAACCCCTCTTTATTGTCCCTCTGGCTTTACCCTGGGTTTCCCAGGCTGCCACATAGGTGGCCAGAGCCTACTCTAAATTCTCTAACATGAGGAAGACACACCCCGTCCACATGAGTTGTGGCATTGTTTCCTAAAACATCACTCAGTTTATTTCAGAAGATTTATTGAGTGCTTTTTATGTGCCAAGCACTGTTATAGGCTCTACGAACATGGCAGTGAGCAAGACAGCTGAGGTCCCTGCCTTCATTCTCTTAGAAGGGAATAGATAATACCCAAGTGACAAATTGAAAAAAAAAATTAGATAATGGAAAGTGCTAGGAAGAAAATAAAACAAGCCAAAGGCATACGGCGTGAGTAGGCAGGAAGGAGAATTCCCTTAGTCAGGGTGATCAGGAGGAAGTGTGGAGGTGACTCCACAGCCACCATCTGCTGGGCTTGCAAAGAGCTGGGCAAAAAAAAGCAACAGCAAGAACAAAAGCCTTGAGGCAGGAATGTGCCCCCCCCCATAGTCATGGAAGAGTGTGGCCGCAGAGAGAACAGGGAGAGGGGTGAAGAGCAGTCAGACAGGGAGGCAGGGCAGCTGGCAGACCTTGGTAGTTTGTAATTTTTTCCAAACAGCAATAAGACACACATAGGTTTTCAGAATTGATAAGCTCTTCACTTGATCTCAGCCAAAAGGTAGAGATGCGATGAGACAATCTAATTTGTATTTTAAATTATCAGGAATAAGCCATCTCAAGTTATATTTTGCTAAGTTACCACTTCCAAGACCACAAAGAAGTTCAAAAGTTCATGGAAAGATTCACATTATCTTAATTCCATTTTTCCATAAACTTTTTGAAGTACACTTGTATTTCTTCCAAGGAATATGAATTGCAAAAACCCCAAGCTTCCTAGGTTGAAATATTAGTGATTGAAGAGTTTGTTTCCTAAAGGTATGGGCAAATGAGTTAAAATATGTATCCCCGTGTCTGTGTCTACATCTATCATCTATCTATCTTGCGTGTATTATTATTCAGTTCTACTTAAAGTGTAACATTTTAATGTGTATAATAGCAAAGTATACATAGGAAAGAACAGAATAATTATATAAGTGATAACACCGAGAGAAAAGGTTGACATTATACAAGCACAGGCAACTGGGCAGCATAATGATTAACAAGAAACTAGCCCATCACACGTCCAATCCTGGGCTGCTTCTTTGCTTGACAGATTTTATCTCTTCCTGGTTTTCCTGACACTGGCACAGTTTTCCTAGGAGCTGTTCTTTGAAGGTAATTTTGCTTTAATCACACAAAAGGGTTTCTCAGACAGTTTTATTTTTTAATCTCAATCAGGAGAGACCTTTTATTTATTTATTTTTTTTATTGAAACATAATTGATTATATGTATTTGTGGGTTGCAGGATTGACTACAATACCTGCATATAATATGTGGTGATCAAATTGGGATAAGTAGCATATTCATCTCATTACAAAATGTAATAATTCTTTGTGTCCATTAACCAATTTAGGAGAGACCTTTAGTTAATCATTTACCTATGGGCCACTTTTTCCTGTTTTATCTCTTCTAAACCAACTCCCACCACCCCCTACTCCCAAGAAAAAAACCCTCAAGTGCAGAGTAACCACAGACTATTGAGAAAATATTCCAATTTAGTTTTTTTGTTGTTTTTCTGTTCTCTATTAAAAGGGAATTTTTCTGCCTTACTATTGGATGATAATTTATACTCCTTCCCCAGGCAGAATAAAATAGTTCTGTCCTCTGGTTTTAAGGGCATTTAAATAGAGCACAATATAGGTTTTAAACTGAAAAATAATGTAGCGTCTTTATATCACCTATTGTCAAATAACCTAATTCTGAGGGGATGGAATCCCAGACAGGTAAATTTAGTTGAAGAAGACTGAGTAGGAAAAGATCAAAATCCTAAGGTCTCTCTGAAAGAGAAAAAAATATATATCAAGTGCAGCAGAAGGGGGCGGTAAGGACAACGGAGAGACCTGGGCAGGGCAGCCAGAGCCGGCATGAGGTCACTTATTATCATAGGGCTAAAAGCTGTGTTTCAAATGTTGGCAAAAGATTTTTTTAAATAAGGAAGAAAATTGCAATTAAAGGATCCTCTTTTCATGTACTATATTTAATGATAGAGCACAAAAAGAAATGGAATCAGCAGAGATATCCTGTATGTGATGCTTCCTTCCTCCCCCAAACTCCCACTCCCACCTAGCCTCCAGGAATCACAACCTTTCAAAACAGATTAGAGTAATATATACGTATATATGTGAATATGTGTGTGTATATACACACATACATTCATATATATAATATACACTGTATGTACACACAGATACATAAAACAGAGCAAATATGTGTGCCAAAAATGGAATTATATAGTCACTTTTATACCCAGATGAAAATGAAAACAGTTTAAACTAGAACAGCTTAGTCAGGATAACTCACCTCCTATTTGTTACAAATGGACATGATTCAGCATGGTTGTTAGAAACAAGTTATATAAGAGTAGTGTAATTGTGCATGTGTGCCCATTTACTGATTCAGCATGTTTTTTGTAATTACGTTATGCACTTGGCTTGCGGCCACTATTGTGTAAAGAGAGTATAAAGGCAATTGCTCTGAACTGTGGGTTGACAGAGAATGGAGGGTCAGCAAAATGGAGGCAGAGCTTATGCCTGAGAATAAAGCATGTCTGTGTAGTTTGTATCTGCAGTAAAGTATATCTACTATGCCTAATGCTGCCAGGATCTTCTTTCAACTACCTGACTCACAACCTGCACAGGATGGGGCAGAGGGGTCTGTGACCCAGCTTGACACCAGAGAAATAGCACTCTCAGGAAGAATGTCTTTGTGCACTGAGAATGCCTCAGGTTTCTTCATTCTTATTGTAATAGCTTTTTACAGACCAGATAGGAAGACATGGGGTTGGATGATACCTTTTTAGTGATTGCCAACTCACCTCACAAACAGTGGCGTAGGTATCATTCTGCATAGAAAAAAAAAAAAAAAAAAGGAAAGTAAAACTCAAAATCCTGAAAGTTGTAAATAATTTTAATGACACTTAGCTGAACATTTCTTCCAAACTAATTTCTTCCCCACCACTGATGAATAATCAACAAGAAACAAACGAAAGCAAGGGAGCCCGGTGCTGGGCCTTCTGTCCAGGCAGGCCACTGTTAGAACAGCTCTGAAAATTTTGTTGTTTACATCGCTGGAAAAATGGTAGTGCATGATGTCTACTAGAAAATTATGGTCCAGTAAGAGGTAATCTGTGATGGGTCAGGCTAGAGAATGGAGGGGCATTTGCAGATGCCCAAGGGAGACAGAACCTGGAATGAAAACTAGCAACAGCACTGGCTAGCAAAGACCAGCTGTAGTGGATTAAATTATGTCCCCCCAAAACTCACTGAAGTTTGAAATGTGTCCCCCAAGTTTTATGTATTAGAAACTTGGTCCCAACTGTGACTGTTAAGAAGGTGGGAAATCCTATTACAGTAATTGAAAAATGGAACCTTGAGGAAGTGATTGGATTGTAGGACCATGCCATAGTGAATGGATTAATAATGGTGGTCAGGGGCATGGCTCTGAGGGCTTAAAACGAAGAGAGAGGAGAGTCTGTCTCTCTCTCTTTCTGCTCTCTCTGCTTCACCATCTACTGCCATATGAGACTCCTGAGATATTATCACCACCAAGGCCTTCACCAGCTGTGTTCCCTGGACTTTGGACTTCCCAGCCTCAGAAACTGTAAGCAAATAAATTTTGGTTTTCTTTTTAATTACCCAGTTCCAGGCATTTTGTTATAAGCAACAGAAATGGACTAATACTCCAGCAGATTACTCTGCCCAGACTGGCCCCTCCAGCATCCACATTGCTTCCTGGACTGTTGCCTAGCAACCAGTGGGGCTTCTCTTTCATTGACTCCGCAAATGTTAACTGAGCAGCTGCTCTGTTCCCCACATTGCGTTCAGTGCGGGGGATACAAAGTGAAAAGAGGGAGAGCATCCTGCCCTGATGGAGCTTACACGGTGGGGTAAAAGACATTAAACACATAACTAAAGAAATAACTACTTAAATTGTAATGAGGCACACAGTCACAAATGTGAGAGTGCACATGAGTAACTCATGTAACAGAGGTCTGCAAGGACATACTATTTAAGGAAAACTGTGAGGAATACGTATAAAGAGAGGTTAACATCCTTATTTAAATCTCAATGCTATAATTTGACTCATTAATAGAAAATGATATTAGGATTACCTAACATTACCATGATTTATACTGATCTAATCTCTGACTTGATCAACCCCCAAAACAGTACCCACTTTAAAATGCAAAATTCTTACGCATGAGATCAGAATGCTTACAGAGTGCCAGGCACTCTCCTTAAGAGGGTGATTCTATTATTATCCTAATTTATTTATGAATAAAATAAAGTACCAAGGGGTTAAGTACTTTAACTAAATTACACATTAAGTGCCAAAGCCAGGCTAAAATGAAAAATAAGAAATCAAGTATCTGGGGACGTATTTCCTACATAAAGTGGAATAAACCACATGTTTGTGACCTCAGAATTAGACTGCTACAATGTTCCCTGCAAAGAAACTTTGAACACAACCTGGGGTCCTGCTAGCAAAAGTGTGGTCTGGGGACACCAGCATCACATCACCTGGGAGCTTGTGACAAGTACAGAATCTCAAGCCCAGTCCAAGACCTACTGAATCAGAATCTACATTTGAACTAAATCCCAAATAATTGCATATTAAAATTTGAGAAGCACAGGCCTACAAAATTTAATAAAAACCTAACATTCTATTAAAAGGCATTTATAGTTTTAAAGCAATTGGGCATCCCTGGGCATCCCTAGGCATCCCTGGGTTCCATGGTTCGCATTAATTTTCCTTGGCCTCTAGTTGCGTTAACAGTATTGGTCTCAATTTCTTTTCCTTTACTATGTATTACTCAGGCTATCATATTTTTCCTTTAGGCTCAAGCAAACTAGTTGATAAGCAATGGAAATACAAATGAAAACTTTCTTAAACAAATTTTCTCTGGAAGGAAACATCATTATCAATAATTAATACTTACACACTTTAAAGCACAGTTTTCCTGATCTGTAGAGTTCCAAAAATGGCATCCCTGGATGCACTGCAAGAGAAAATAACAGACAATGGTGACTGAAGAAACATAACTTTTCTTGTCACCTGAAAGTGCAACATAGTAACAAAAAGTACCACCCAGTGTTTTAGAAAGAGAAATCTGCCAAGGAAGCTGAGGTCACCAAAGGATCAGGACCTTTGGGATCCTAAGCATAGCTGTCACATCTAGAGACAGAGCAGGGCTGAGTGTGCTCTGCTGCAGGGGGCGGGGTTGCTGAGCAGTGTTAAGCCCTGGGTGGGCAGTCTAGGCCCCAGAGAACACCCAACCTCAGGGAACATACTGTCCACTGGCAAAGGTAAAATCCAGGACAGCAAGGCATCAGGTGTATCCTGGGTCCATGGGGTGTCCTCACACAACAAGCAAAACTCAAAACTGGGGACTCAACCAAACGATAGCATGTCAAAACCTAAATAGTTAGACCATTTGAGGAGTCTGCTGTCTATTAGGCGGCTTTCACCCTACAGCTGCCCTAACCCCCTATTGGACAAATTCGACATGTTTCTCCTTCCCTGACTTGGTTTGTCTGTGCCTGTGACTGTGCAGGCCGTTCCTTCCACAGGCCGTGGGGCACCTGGGTCCCCTCTCCTTCCCCTCAGCTCCTGCTCAGTCTCCGTTGCCATCTCTCCTTTACTCTCTCCACCATTTGGTGTCTGTGTCCCACCCTCAGCATTTTCTCTTATCACTCTTCACTTTCTCCCTGAACAAGGTCATCCACTATCTGTCCTCGGTGTTGATAACCCCCAAATTTGTAACTGCAGCGGGGTTCCTTCCTGACCCACAGACCTAGATATCCACTTGCACATTAAACATCTCCATTTGTCTCTACAAGCACCTCAAATTCACCAAGCGAAACATTAAATTTCTCATTTTCTACCCTCAAATAGGCTCTTTCTCCTGTATTTCCTATTAACACTGCAGTCTTCTGAGTTGCCCAGAACCAGGACACTTTCTCCTTCTCTCATCCCACTCCTTCCTCCCATGGGCTCCTCCATCTCCGAGTCCTATTGACACATCTCATCACTAACTGAAATCCATCTGGGTTGCTCAGTCATCGCCCCCAATTTTCTGCTCTGCCCTTCACTTCACCCAGAAGGGGCCTCTTTTGTTCTCACATAGGGAGTGATCCTTTTAAAACAAAACCTGGTCACACTCTCCTCTTACCTAAAACTCTATATATCTCTCCATCATCTCGTAGATTGAGACCAAATTAACAAGCATGGCATTCACAACCCTTCATGATCTAGCCCCACCTAACTCGCCAATCTAGTCTCCCACCTCCCTACTGCCCACGCGCGTACCCACTTTCCAAGAAAGCTAAATACTTCCCTGAACAAGTTAGGCTACCTCACATCTTTGTGTCTTGGCACTAAGGGCCTCCTCTGATTGATAAGCCTTTTCCCTTCTAGTCCTTCCAGAAAACTCTTCATCTATGTAGTTTTAGTTTGATGGCCTTGCAGGCAAGAGAGGTGCTTTTTTCTCCTGTGTATTCTCTTTCCTTCACACACACCGCTACTGTGGTTCTCATGATGCTGTCTGCCATGGTTTTATGGATAAGTCTGTCTCTCCTACGAGGTTGAGAGTCTCTTTAAATAGATACCCTATTTTTGTTTGTTTGTTTATTAATTTATTGATTTATTTTTGTATTTTTGGCCTCAAAACAAGTCTTACTATATTTAAAAAGATTAAGATCATAGAAAATATGCTCTCTGACCACAATAAAAGAAGGAAATGTAGAAAATTCACGAATGTGTGGAAATTAAATAGCACTCTCCTAAATAAAGATTGGATAAGAAGAAAAATCACAGGGAAATTAGAGGGGACTTTGAAATAAAGATCAAAGTGCAACATATCAAAATTTGTAGGATGCAGGGCTCAGGGAGCGCTTAGAAGAAAATTTATACTTGTAAACACCTATATTAAAAATGAGAAAAATCTCGGGCCGGCCCTGTGGCGCACTCAGGAGAGTGTGGCGCTGGGAGTGCAGTGGCGCTCCCACCACGGGTTCAGATCCTATATAGGGATGGCCGGTGCTGGCTGAGCGCGATGCGGGCGACACCACACCAAGGGTTGCGCTGCCCTTACCGGTCACAAAAAAGACAAAAATAAATAAATAAATAAATAAAAATTAAAAAATAAGATAAATCTCTATCAGTAATGTAAATTTCTACCTTAGGAAAATAGAAAAAGAAGATCAAACTAAACCAAAAGCAAATAAATAAAGAAATAACAGAGATTACAAAAGAAATATATGAAATAGGGAATTAAAAAACAATAGAGAAAATCAACAAAACCAAAAGTTGATTCTTTAAAAAGTTGATTCTTTAACAAAATTTGCAAACCTTTATCTAGACTGACCAAGAAAAAAAAGAGAGGAGACCAAAATTACTAACATCAGAAATAAAGCAGGGGCATTATTACATCGTCATTATGGCTTTTTGTGGTGGTAAGATTTAGTTTCATTCTCTTTCTCACTTGCATTTTTGTTCACCAGTGGGTTTTGTTCTTTCTTGTGTATTCTTGATAGTGATTATCACTTTTGATTCTTTAACAAAATTTGCAAACCTTTATCTAGACTGACCAAGAAAAAAAAGAGAGGAGACCAAAATTACTAACATCAGAAATAAAGCAGGGGCATTATTACATCGTCATTATGGCTTTTTGTGGTGGTAAGATTTAGTTTCATTCTCTTTCTCACTTGCATTTTTGTTCACCAGTGGGTTTTGTTCTTTCTTGTGTATTCTTGATAGTGATTATCACTTTTCATATTCCAGGTGCACAACTCCCTTGAGGATTTTTTGTAGGCTGGTTGTGTGGTGGTGAAGTCCTGCAGCTTTTGTTTACCTGGAAAATATGCTATTTTCTCCTCATTTCTGAAGGATAGCCTTGCTGGGTGTAGTATTCTTGGCTGGCAGTTTTTTTGCTTTTAATATTTTGAATATATCATCCCATTTTCTTCTGTTCTATAAAGTTTCTGTTGAGAAATCTGCTGTTAGTCTGGCAGGGGCTCCCTTATAGGTAATGACATTTTTCTCTTGCTTCTTTTAAGATTCTCTCTTTGCCTTTGAGCTTTGCCAGTTTGACTACAATGTGTCTTGGAAAGGATCTGTTTGGGTTGAATCTGTTTGGGGATCTTGGTGCCTCCTGGTTCTTAAGGCCCATGTCTCTCTCTATACCTTGGAAGTTTTCTGTTATTATTTTATTGAATACATTTTCCATGCTTTTCCTTTCTCTTCCCCTCTGGAACATCCATGATTTGAATGTTTGTGTGCTTAAGGTTATCTGTTAGCTCTCTTAGAATTTCTTCATTTTTTAAATTATTTTTTCCTTTATTTATTTATTTATTTATTTTGTCAACCTGGGTTGTTTTGAAAAGACTATCTTCAAGATTGGAAATTCTCTCTTCTGTTTGTTCTAGTCTGCTGCTCAAGCTCTTGGTGGTGGTTTTTATTTTGCCGAGTGAATCCTTCAGATCCATGAGCTCTGCTACATTCTTTGTTAAGGTATTAATCTCTTTGTAAACTTCCTCCTTCATATCCTGGATTTTTTTTTTTTTTCTTGTTTCAATTTGTTGTCTAACTGAGTCTTCTCATATCTTAGTGAGTTTCCTTAAGATTGTGGCTCAGAATTCCTTTTCAATCATTTCAAGGTTTTCCTGTTCTTTAGGGTCTAATATTTGAGAATTACTGCATTCTTTTGGTGGTGTCATATTTTCCTGGGTTTTTGTATTTCTAGTATCCCTACATTGATGTCTGGTCATCTGGTAGAACAGTTGCTTCTTCTATTACTCTGGAGTGGGATTTGACAAGAGAAATATTCTCTTCTTTTTCCAGTCTCCACTGATGACTCTCCTTGTGTCAATGCAGTCAAATGTCTGGTGGGTCACCTGCAAAGTGGCTGTGGTTACTGCTGTGGCATCAAGCCACTTCTGTGGCAGCTGTGGCTGTGGCAATGGCTGTGGTGAGCCACCTGTGTGGGTGTGGTGTTTTAGCATGCTCTCTTTTCTGCTTTTGGGTGAGGGATACTACCCTTGGCTCCTGCCTAGGACCCAGGGCATGCTGTCTTGCCTGCTTCCAGGTGGAAAGGGCTGTCCTAGACTCCATAACCCTATTTTACTCATTCTTAAATCTGTAGCACATAGTACAGTGCCTGACTCATACTTATACCTGAGTCACTAAACAATTGTTGAATAAGTGAATACATGTGCAGAAATGTAACAAGACCATAAAATGTAATTGTTAGAAGAAACATTGGGGACTATCTAGTCCAACCCTTTCAGACAACACATAGTGAAACTAAGTCTCAAAAATATTCAGTAATTTATCCAAAGCCACACAGCTATGTAGAGTCAAAGTAATGGACTTGGATTAGTCCTGTGCTGTTTCCACTTCAACACACTTCATTTTTAAATAAATTCTGTAATTCAGACTTCTATTTTTGAATGACTTTCCAGCAGGGACAAATAAATGAGATTTTACTTAGAAATTATTCTTATTGTAATAAAACCTGACTGTTGTCCCTTTTTTATGAACACAAACACTGTAAAGTTCATGACAATGAAAGCAGTTACTCACCGGTTCACTCAGATTATATGGTGTGCAGATATCAAGCTGTCTGCCCTGAAATGCAGAAGGAGGTAGTAAATACCAGCTGCAATATTGGGTTCAGTGTAACCACCACAACTTTTTTGTTTAAAGCTTCCTGGAATAGTGTTGCCTCCTCAGTGTTTTCTAACTGTAAAGTAAGGAGCCAAATGTTTTAAAGTCATTAAACCCATCATAAAACCAAGAAAAATGCCAGTGCAGATTATAGATGTAATGCCTAAGAATTCTGAAGGAACTACAAGGGTGGGAATGGTTAAAAGAAGTGGTTCAAAACAATGAAGAGGTTATAAAACTGTAACACTAGTCAATTAATCAAGTCAAAGGACTCCTGGGTTAGAGAGAAATCGTGCTCAGATTTTTCTTTTTTAAATTACTCATTAAGAGCAGAAAATATATACAAATTTAGAATGTCATATATAATAAAACATACAATTACTCTGTTTATTTCTCACATATTCGCAAATTTTAAGAACTTTTTCATACTGTGGGAAATTAAAAGAAATGGGAACTAAAGAAACAAATCTATAAATTGCTCATCCTATCCCTGGTCATTATTGGACTGGAGTCCTTCATAAATAGGAGAGTTTACAAAGGATGGCAATACTGGACCTATGGAAATCAGATAAGTATTCAAATAGTGTTACGGAGGTATAATCTAATTTCCACAGATCATATATTCCACTGATTAATTTAAAATTATAGGCAGAGGAAACTAGGTGAATATATCTAGTAACTCTAGTTGGTGCTGATCAGAATCTACCCTAAAGCTTTGCTGAATTTGAACCACTGAATTGGAGAAGTATTTAATTCAGCAAAGGACACAGAATCTGTCCTTGTCTGACTCAGCAGTACTATATAAACAAGATATGTCCCAGAAGATGACAGAAAATCCAAAGGGAGGTTGGGAAGTGGTTTAAGTATTGTGTGGCCTTCCGAATAGCTCAAGCTTTTCAGAAGTGAGAGAGACACTGCATCACTGAGCTCACGGAGCACTTTCCTCCTTCCTATCCACTTCACTCTTCACTCTAACCCAGCACCTAGAACAGTGCCTGGTGCATGATACGTCTTCAGTAAATATATGCTGAAGGAATAAATCCATGAATTCAAGGTGGTCTGCCATGTCAGAATGTCCCAGAAATCCCTTGGAAGCATCATCCAATGACCTAGCATTGTGGGGGGGTTACTTGAAAACTAATCAGACACAGGAAACAAAGAACAAATGTTGCCCCCCTTTTTTTTTTCTCATTTGACATGTGAATGAAAACTTCTCTCAACTCCATTCCCTAAATACAGATATTTCTAGAGAAAGGAGAAGGATGCTTACATGTTTTTAGATAATAATTACTTGGACACACTGGTTAGCTCGGCTGGTTAGAGCATGGTGCTGATGACACCAAGGTCAAGGGTTCAGTCCTTGTACTGGCCAACCACCCAAAAAAAGAAAGAAAAGTATTTAGCAAGTAAAAACTGTATCTGTTAGATTAATTTTGCAACCAGTGCTAATAGTACTTTTTCCATGATTTTGTTCAAAATGAAGTTTTGATTCCTCTTTTTATAGTTGAATCACAGTCCTATAAAATCAGGTGAAAGATAATGTGTCAGTAATTTAATATTTTCCTATCTCTTCAAAAAGTCTGTTAGCTCATAAAAGCAAAAGAGTGGACTCTGGGTAGTCTTTGTGTTCCACTTTAAACAACAGGGCAACAGAGATGTTTCTTGGTAACCATAAAGTCACATTGCAACAGTAACGAGTCCCTATGTTGGCACTTCTCGAGATTAAATTTAACCTAATGGAGTGCCCATCATGTGGTCTGGAGCAAGTAGACTCATGGGTCAGGTATATGTGTCTCTATCCTGCACACCTCAGCTGGAACTAATCTCATCCTTCACTTCCTCCTCCTCATAATCATAATAGCTAACATTTATTATGTTATTCCTATGATCCAGGCACTCTTACAGATGTTTTACACTAAATCTCATTCAATCATCTCAACAAACCTATAAGGTAGGTACTATTATTAACCCTGTTTTACAGCAGAGGCACAGGGAGGTTTAGTAAATCGCCTATGTTAGGCTCTGAACAGGGCAGGGAGATCAGGGAGACTGCCTCCAGAGTCTGTGCTCTTATGCACAGATGCTTCCCAGAATCTGCACCAAATTCACATTTCTCACATTGGACCTTACAGTGCCCACCATTTTACCTTAATTCCAACTGCTCCAGTTATCTCCTTCTAAGAGGCAAAACCAGTCCTGTATCTCAGACCCTCTGAACACCTACTTCTTGGCACAAGCTTTTCCATCCTGCCCACCTCAGCAGGAACTAATCTCATTCTTTACTTCCTACCCTAATAAATGAAACAGAGCAGAACAATTTGAATTTTAATCCCACATATGGTACTTGTTCCCAGTGTGATATTATAAAAGTTACCTCTGAGGTATAAACATAGTGTTCTCATCTGACACATAAGTAGGATAATATTTAATTCATAAGGTTCTATGATTATTCAATTAAATAATGTATTAACTATTATAGTAGTATAGGACAGGCAGTTACAAATCTATTATTAGTATTGCATACAAACTTGCTATAAACAACCTTTTGCATACATCTCTTTGGTTATTTATGCAGTGATATCCTCACATAAATTTCTTGTGAAACAAACCCTGTAGGGGTATATTTCCCTTTGAATTTTGATATTTATTAAGCCATTGTTTTCTAGAAATCTACCAATTTACATCTCAATCAACAGTACAGCTATATCTATCCAACTATATATATTTTTATCTTTGCCAAGCCGATAGAAGAAAAATTGATGATTCATTTTTACTTTGCAATTCTGTGGTTGCTGTGAGGTTGAATATCACATTGTTTTTAGCCATTTATATTTCTTCTTCTTTGAAGTGGCTGTTCATGTTTTAAACTTTCTTTACTTGCTTTTATACATATTAGGATTGGTAAAATTTTATTTATCAGGTGTAATACTCTTCCTGGCTTTTGGCTTTTTTTATTTTATTCTGTTTATTTTCATTACAGTTTAAGTTTCTAAGTAGTCAAATTTATCAATAATTTTTTTGAGGGAGTCTGGACTTTTTAATTAAGCTTCTTAAGGCATTCCCTCTCCAAGATTATAGAAACACTCACCCTTTACTTCTCCTAATATTTTTATGAGGTAAACTCTTGTTTTGTTTTTGTCATTTGTCTGTTTGTATTTAAATCACACCTTTAATACCTCCTGGAATTTATTTGAATCTGGTAATGAAGTAGGGATATACTTTTCATTCTGAATGGATAGCATCCCATTGGTGTGAATTTTTATCTTTCTCATAGTCTACACTCCAAGTACATGGTTTTATTTCTGGATTGTATTGTTTTACTGGCCAATCTACTCCTATACCAATACAAACAGCTGATTTCTAGAATTATAGAATTTTATAGAATTTTCGGATTATGGTTTTACTCCATTATCTTGTTTTAATGTTGTATACTGATATACAAGAAAGATATTGATGAACATATATTAATTTTTTTTAAACAGGACAGTCTTCTGAACCCTATTGTTTCTAATAGTTTTTCAGTTGATTTTTGGTTGATTCCTTTGGAACTTTAGGTGCAAGAAAAATATATTGTTGCCATCCTCTAATACTGTAAAACTTTAACATATCATATCTGTAATAGCTTTTAACTATCTAGTGATAGAAACCTTGGCACCTCAATGTGGTGTAACTTCCTTTATAACTATTAATTGTATAATTTAATTCTTTTATATTCCTAATTGCATCCACCACAGAGCTGAACATACATAGATACCCAAGAAAATTTATTGAATAGAATTGATACTTCTAACTGAACACTTCTCAACACCAGTTCCTTGGTTGTTGGGATTTGTTACCCAAAGAAAAAAAAAGGTTTTATTGCCAAAGAAGATCAGAAATTTGTGATTAAACAAAGCCTTTAATATATAATTGTGCCCTGTGGATCTACAAAAAGAAGGTATAGCAAAATGTATTTCCACAAATTATTTGACCATGATTTTTTTTTGTAAAGGATCTTATGAGTATTCCGAAGAACATTATTTTTTGTTTGCAGCACTCTGCATCTAGAATTTTAAAATATTAAGTCATTTAACTAACACAAGCAGTCTTTTAAAAATTCATGAAAAGATTCATATTTTTTTCACAAATTTTTTGAAGTACCCTTATACATGCAGATTCTCCATTAACATAAAGCATCAATGTTCAAGCATGGAACTATGATTTGTGCATTTTTGGCCAGAAATTCTGATATTCTTTCATAAAAGACTCTTTTGCATTTCTTTTTGATTTAATTAACTTTTCATTAAAACATATCGATTGTAATATTTATGGGGTACACAGTTACATTTCAATACGTGTATACAATGTGTGACGATCCAATCAGGGTAATTAGTATATTCATCATTGCAAAACTTAATCCTTTCTTTGTGATGTGAACATTTGATTTCCTCTGTTTTGTGTTTCTTTTTTTAAAAGAAAAGATCCCTCGATATCAAAAATCACCCAGTGAAACCAAAGATGACCTTCACAGCAAATGTCCGTGTTGAAAAGGACGGCACAGAAAATATAATAAACTCAGGCACTTTGCATCTGTTCTTCCCTGAGCCATAACAACATACAATTGTCCATCCACCTTACTTTTGTCCCTCTGGGCCTCACGTAGGAGGCTCAGATGGGGAACATTCATTACATTCACTGGTCAAACTGGCAGACCATGTCTTCTTGCAGCTCTACCACATGAGCTGGGTCTTTCTCTGTAGGTGGTGAACAGAAGGCAGCTCACCAAAGGAACAAACTGTCTGCCCCTATTGCCAAGTCCTGAAATCAAGGAGCCCACACAAAAAGATAAGAATAAATAGAACTAAAATAAAATAAACTAAAATAAAATGGAGACTGCAATATCAGAAACAAACAAAATCAGTTTCAAGAGTAGGGAAAGTAACAAATTATGGCGACACATTCATACGATGGAATACTCTAAATATAAAGATCCTGTTTCTAGAAAAAAACTTCAGGGTAGGGGGAAACTCACAGTATAATGTGAAATGAAAAAGCTGGGTGCACAACTGTGTGTAAAATTACATATGTATATTTGAGGAAAAATACTAAAAAAAAAATACAATCAGAGGTTAATACCGGTAGAAGTATAGGTTTTTCCCTCTATTCTTCTCTAATTATTCTTTATGTTATAAATATTTTACAACAGGTACATATTCTTATTATAATCAGAAAAAATTAAAATCTTTTTAGGAAAGAAAACATTTAGTAGTCCCATTCTTCCATTTTTAGGTTTGGATTACAACTGTAAAAAACTAAAGCATATAATTCTACATTAAAAGCAACAAAGTCTTCAGCAAAGATTTATATAAAATACCAAACTTGTTTTAAATGCTACTCTTCATAGTAAGCCTAAGTTGTATTTTAAGAGATAGTTTAAATTAAACCAAAAGTGTGTAACACAAGTTGTTTTTTTTAAAATCCATCACAGAGTATTATCTCTATTACTTCAGCATAATAATGAGTACTATTTGGTGCTTTCATTCTTTTAAAAAATACGACTATCAACTGTGTTTACACAAGCTATCTTGCTATTTCCTTTGTCTTTAGATAGCAAGGGTGCATCTTTCCCTGGTTGGCGAGTATTTGGTTTTTAAAGTTGATTCAGTGACCATTTTGAGCACAACCTAAGTCACAACAGAAAAGATATAATACAATATATGTTGAACAGATTACATCAAGAAATGTGAAAGAAAACATAAATTTCCATATCAAAAAACTCATTAATTAAAAATTATAAATGCACAGATATAAATAAAGAAATTTACAAATAATCTTGCTTTTAAAATAAAATGTTTTACTTGGCATCTGCATCTGCCTTCTTGGTCGCCTCGCTCCCTATACAGTAATCTACCCACAATATAAATATTACTGTTAGTCTGTAGCTAGAAGGCATTTCCCTGTGGCCAAAGCTACTTCATGCTTCAAGACACATAATAATTATTTTGTAATAAATGAGTTTAAATTGAAATTTTTTAGTGTGCAAAATTGATTTTATTTAAGCTTCATTTACCCAGTTCCCACACACCCCCAAAAGATCTGTGACCAAATAATTTAATGAAATAAAATAGCCTGCCCTATCTTCAGCAATTATAGCTTATTATAATTATTTCAGAAAAGAATAATCTATCTAACTTATTTCAGAAAAAAGTAATCTATCCTGCCTTGCTACCACTTCTCATGAGAAAACTTCTCATAAAGAGAAAACAATTCTACCCATTGTAACAAGCTGAATTTGACATGTGCTAGTTTCTGCAAAGACAAAGAGGAGTGAAACTTACCAGGTTCGTTACACACGACTTTAAGCAGTTGTTTAAAACTGTACACTGTACCACAGAAATCCATATGCAGCCAAGAGTCGCAAAATTGACAGGTTTCGGAATAAGCCAGTAAATGTTCTTCATAACTTCACCAATGGCGGATTTTTAGATAGCCAGTCTTCTAACTGTCTCCATTTTGCTATATGAATTCTTTGGGTTTCATCATTTCAATTGTAAGAGTGGCTAGTGGATTTTTTTATTTTATTTTGAAATGCTAAAATATCTTTGCCTTTTCAAATAATATTTAGACCTTTTACTTTAGACCTTTGAGTCCTTGATAACTTATAATATTCACATAAAAGCTATTTCATAACTTAGCTTCCTTTTACTCCATAGTCACCCACTAACTAAAGGTTAGATCTTAGAAGAGCACTTCACATGGAAAGTGAACAAAGTAGAAAACAAATTGCATTTCCGCAAGCATGTGACACACGCACAGTCTGAACCGGGAACGCTTCAGTGGATCATCCACCTCTCTACTTCTTTGAGGTTGGTTCAACTATGCAGGAAATTGGGTTTTGACCATCTATGCTTTAGGAAATATAGTGATAGTCAACTTTATACTCCACAAACATATAATAAAAATTTTTAAAAAAAAGATTTTTAAAGAATTATCGAGAAAATAGAAGCGCCTAAATCAAGTCATGCAACAAAGAGGGAAAACAGAACTCATTGAAACCAAATATATATTTTAAAATCAAACAGCAAACAAAGTTGAAATTAAAAGACAAATGCTCTGAGGGTGAGTTAAAGACAAGGAAGTTTGTTAAGAGCACTCTCAGAACTTTACTACATATTAACTAAAATACTGCCTTAGGTCTATCAGACAGAGCTGAAACTAGCCCCCATAGAGACCTAAAGTATGTACCAGTTTAGCTGCCTTGAAAAGGAAAGATTATACAGAATTTCAATTAGCCTAGCATCAAGATAAAGTTAAGCTGAAGCCTAAAACAAAGGATTTGAAATCTAAGAGGTACAGAAGTGAGTCATTCTGGATCCAGTCATCTGGATACTTTTTAGATTGCTGAGAGTTAACTCTTTAAGGCCAGATATTTTTGTGATAGTGTTCTTTTTAATGACAATCTAAAGTGTCAAATAAACTTCCTTGTTTTCTTAAATAAATTATTCCAAATGTAATTTAACCTTTTCTTAATAACATGAAGTTCTTGTTATGAACAACACATGCATGGGTTTTGTTTTGAGCTGAACATCCCTTAGTAAATGTTGAAAAAAACTGTGTACAACATAAAGATGAATGGATACTGACCCCAGAATTGACCCCTAAAACTTTTTTCTTGAAAAAATTCCCTTCCGTCTACCTGTTCTTTGTTCATTTTCTGCATTTTTCAGGAATGTAGATTAAGGAATATATATCTACTTGATTTCTTGGTCAGAGGAATTCACTTTCTACAAAATATGCTTTTAAATCAGAGAATAAAGTACCTTGCCTAAGGGATTTTCTCATCCCAATGAAATTGATCTTCTTTACTGTGGCTACCAATGCCTTTTCCCTCATTAGCATAAATAATATTTTTGACTTTTACTTCACTAACAAAATCCACCACCAACAAAATATATCCTTGAAAACTCAAGTATTTTCTCTTCTATCACTTGCTATAACTTTGTTGGTGGAGTGTGAAAATAGTATCCTTCCAATTTCAAGATTTTCTGTTTATTCTGGTTTGGGGAATTTAACTGGCACATTTGCACTTGTGCACCATGAAGTGTGTTCAAAGACATTTGTTGCATAATTATTCATATCAGCAAAAAATTGGAAAGAACCTAAAAGTTCAATAATGTAATACTGGATTGATCCATTCACATAATCTTCTCCATGTGGTTTCTCCACATGGGCTTATTTGGACTTCCTCACAGTGTCTTGGTCCCTGGGCAATAAGGCTGTTTACGTGATGGCTTGAAGCTTGGTGACAGTGATCCAACTCTCAAAGCATAAGCCATATTGTCTTTTATGACCTAGCTTTGGAAATCACATAGTCACTTCTGCTGCATTCTATTGGTTATCAGAGAGTCACAAACCTGCCTGTATTCAAGGCCAGGGGAATTAGACCCCTGCCTCTTGATGTGGGAGAGGCAAGATTCCAGAAGAGCATTAGGATAGGAGATACTGTTACACCACTTTTAGGAAATACAATCTGCCACTATATTGGTAGTCATTGTTTGCATGGTTCTATCATGCAGAAATTCCATTTACTTCAGTTTGGTTAAATAACACTAGTCTCCCAACAACACATTTCAAATTTAACATGATATATTAACTGTGAATAATCACATAAAGTGCAAAATTCTCAGCTATTCCTTTAGTCCACAAATCAGATATAAATAACAGATGGGCATGATGATCAGAGAACAACCATATCACTTCTTTCAAAATTTATCAGTGATTGATCACTGTACATCTGTTATTCAGTTCATGCACAGACAGCAAAGCATGTAGTTGTGATGCTTCCTTGACTCCCAGTAATAATCCTTATGACCTTTTACGAAATGACGTTTAGAAAAATGGATGATAGAAAGAGGGAATTAGCCAATAAAGATTAAAATGCAGCAAAAAAATTAACAGTAATAAAACTGGAAATGAAATTTCAATCAAATGTATATGAAGTTATAGAAGAAATAGCTTACTTGAGAATGTTGCTATTGTTGCTGTTCAAAAGATTCTAGGTGTGCAGCCAGAGGAACTATGTGGAGGTAAATTATGGACATAAATGAGGAAAGTGCTTGTGATGAAAAGGATGTAAACATCCCAAAGGAAGTCATGCTGGCAAAAAAATTTCATGTTGTACAAATATCTTAGAGGTATTTCATGACATTGAAAATACAAAGGATAAAATGTTGGACACTGATCCAAACTTAGAAAGGGGTCTGACAATTTCTATGCCAGGGCATAGAAAAGAGGCTCTGTTAATTAAGTTGTAGAATGAGAGGAAGGAAAGAAAGAATTGTAATTTTTCCCACTCACTATTAAAATCACTTTGCACAGTTTCAGCTTACATAGTCATTTTTATAGTTCTACACTACCAAGCAAAATGAAGATTGCCTGTATAGTAAGACACAATGGGGGTGGAGAGTCATACTTTACAGGCAACTGTTGCTGTCTCCTTAAGGGGATAAGAGAATTTATTATTCACTGACCACCCATTCATAATGTCTGAATTTTATAACATGAACACATATTACAGATTCAAACAAATTAACATAATAATTTTAAAATATTCTGCACCAGAGGCCAGCCCGTGGCTCACTCGGTAGAGTGCAGTGCTGATAAAATATTCTGCACCAGGATTTGAAAGGATAGGTCTTACAAGCCTGCCAATTCATCTCAAGTTATTGCTTGTGTGTATTACTTCCATTATCATCTTTAGAGATTTCTTCATATGAATTTCATAAAACCTTCTGATATGGGTTGTATCCTTCAAGTTTCATGTATTAATAGTTTGATTTTCTCTGTGACTGTTAAGAGGGTGGGAAATCCTATTATGGTAATTGAAAGGTGGGGCCTTGAAGGGGTGATTAGATTCTGAGGACCATGCCTAGTGAATGGATTAATAATGGTGGTCATGGACATGGTTCTGAGAGCTTTAAGAGAAGAGCACATGAGAAGTTCTATCTCTCTACTCCACCATTTTCTACCATGTGAGACCCCTGCACTGCTGTAAAATCACCACAAAGAAGACCCTCACCAGATGTTTTCCCTGGACTTTGGACTTCCCAGCCTCAGAAACTGTAAGCAATAAATTTCATTTTCTTATAAATAACCCAGTTCCAGGTATTTTGTTATAAGCAACAGAAATGGACTAAGACCAAAAGTTGGTATGAGAAAAGTTGGGTGTTGCTTATAACAAATACTTGAGAATGTGGAAGTGGCTTTAGAAGTGACTGTTGAGGAAAGGCTGGAAGAATTTGAAAGAGCAGGCTAGGAAAAGCCTACCTGCTGATGGGAGTTTAGAAGACAAAAAAACCTGGAAATGTTTGGAACTTCCCAAAGACTGGTTGAATGGTAATGAGCAGAATGCTGATAGAAATGTGGACAGAAAAGGCCATACTTAGAAGGTCTCAGATGTAAACAAGAAGTGAATTACTGGAAACTGGGGCAAAGATCACCCTTGCTATGAACTGGCAAGGAACTTGGCTGCATTCTGTTCATACTCAAAAGTTTTATGGAATGTTGAACTTAAGATGCTGACCCAGGGTATTTGGCAAAAGAAATTTCTAAGCAGCAAAGTGTTCAGGAAGCTGCATGGCTACTTGCAAAGCCCATACTGAGTTATGGCAGCAAAGGCATGACATAAAGCCAGAATTTAAAAGCGAAGCAGAGCATAAAGATTTGGAAAAATTGCAGACAGGACATGTGGTAGAGAAGCAGAGAGCACTTTCAGGAGAAAAATGTGATTGTGCTAAGAAGATTACTACAAATGAAAAAGATTATCAGAAGGAGGGGAAGGCCCTGAAGGCATTGCAGAGGCCTCTGGGGCCAACTCTTTCATTTCAGGCCCAAAGGCATATGGAGACAGAACGTCTCAGGGAACAGGCCTGAGATGTCCTCCATCAGCTTGCTGCCCAGGGACACCTCAGGATAATGCTCACCACAACAGCACTCCAGCTGCATTGGCTGCTCCAGCCATGGCTAAATTGGCCTCAGGTGTGGCTGGACCTGCAGCTTTGGAAGATGCAAGCCAGAAGCCTTGGCAGCATCCACATGGTGTTAGTTCTGCAGGTTCGCAGAGTTCCAGAGGTATGGAGGCTTGGAAACCTCCACCCCAATTTTAAATGATGTATGGAAAATCCTGGAGACCCAGGGAAAGATCTGTCATGGGGGCAGAGTCACCACAGACAAGCTTTGCTAGAGCAATGCTGAGCAGAAATGTGAGGTTGGCATTGCAGCAGAGAAACCCCACTAAGGCCATGTCTGGTGGAGCCATGAGAGCAAAACTGCCATGAAGACTCCAGAATTGTGGAGCTACCAATATGCAATGCCAGCCTGTGAGAGCTGAAGAATTGCCTGAGACCAGGCAAGCCATAGAAGTGGAGCTGCCCGAGGACTTGGGGATCCAAACCTTGCACTGGCATGCAGAGGACATGAAACATGGAGTAAAGGTACATGATTCACCAGCTTTGAGATTTAACACCTGCTGGATTTTGGACTTCTTTGGGACC